ATAAGCACCTTCCTACCGTTTGATAATCGACCGACCAAAACAATGTATATTGTCCAAATCGCCAAAAATACCAATAATAAAAAGATGCAAAGTTATTCAGATAAATCTTATTCTTTTTTTTTAGTTTTTACTTTTCATAACAACTAATTATTCGGGCAATCCGTAATTTACAATACTATAATTTTGTATAAACAGTGACATTATGTTTATTCGTTATCAGATAGAAATATCGGATGATTATATTTTAATTAGATTTTAGCATTTTATAATGAGAATGACATAAATTAAAAACATAAATAATTTATTTGCTATAAATTCAATATTTTTCTTCAATTAAATTATTCATCTTTCTATTAGTATAATAATTCTGCCACCATAGAACTATCAATGATTACATAGTAATATTAATTTGAATAAATCGTTATATTATAAAATATGTTATGTAAAAACTTCATAAGTAATAATTAAAAGTTTTGAAACTTACCGTATGTCTATATATATAATAAATTTCATTCAAGCTTCTAATGATTGTATGAGATAGAGGTATGTATGAGATCTAGCATTAACATGATTAAATACTACGTCTTTTTTCATAAATAATTCCAACCCTCTGGTTTAAGAGAATTGCTCTATTTGGTGATAAAGCACTTTCAAAATAATTATTAAATTGATCCAATCAAACAAATATTAAATAAACTATGCATTAAATATTAACTCCAATTACTTTTAGCGAACTTATCTACTCCGTTACCTGATTCCTCATAAAATGATAAATAATCCATTATCCACTATGGTTTATTTTGAAATTTAACTATATTTACGTGTTTGGACATCAAATTACAATTGTAAGAAATTGTATAAATAAAGAACAGAATAAGAACATAAATTGTATAAAATAAGCAAATTACAAAACTAGATCGTTTGACATCAATTTAAGAATAATCGAATGCAATAAATTTAATTTAGTAGTTATTTAAATTATTTTTTACACCGCGTTGCTTCAATTAATATTATTTTATGTTTTAAGTAATTTCAACTAACTTTAAAAATATTATGCAACTGTAATGTTGAAAAATTAAAACGATATTTGGCTTTTCTAAATTTTTGCATTGATATTCTATTAAAATATCTTCATACACATTACATGATTTTTTATATTTATACAATATTTTTACTATATCTAAAAAAGAATAATGTACTATATCTTATCTTTTTATTTATTTTTTCGTTGAATATTTATATTTACTATCTTTCTCTCTCTTTTATTTTGACTACATTATATTGTTTATTCCATTTTATTTATTTCCTTATAGGTATTAAAATAAATTTAATTATTTAGATGCTTCTTAGAATAATTGATATTAAACGTAAAATACGGTTAAGTGTAATTTAATTCTAAAAATCAATCTATATTACTTATTTTTATTATTATATTATTATATTATATGGCACACATATTATTAATAAAATGAAATCTTATTAACAATCGGAATTTTTTGTTAAATTAAAATAAAAGCAATTTTTTTACTAAATAAATAAAATTTTTATTAGACTATTAATTTCAATAATATAAATCATGTTTCAATACAAGAATTTGAATGCACCAAAAATAAAGATATTTTCTTATGCAAATATTATAGATTTTTGACAATCTAGTATTTCTACAAATTATTTTATTATCTATAAATTTCTCTTCAAAAAATTATAATCATAATTAATACAAGTGATATTTATTCGAAATATTAAATATAAATAATTAAAGTAAATTTAAAAATAATATATATAATTATAATATAATAATAATATAATTATATATATAATAATATAAGTTTAAAAAAAATAAAGCTGTTGTTTTTATATAACCATGTAATAAAATAGATAATAAGAATATTTAAAAATTATAATGTATAAGAATTTATTATTCCGTTGTATTAACAAACTTTTATATTTTAAAATTTAATATACCTGTGTGTGTGATAAACATTAAACACGCATCATTTATAATATAATATGTGTAAAATATATATCTTGGATAACACACTGAAGAATTTTATGCAATACCTATGACACATAAAAGATATATGTATAGATTTAAAAATACAACCATATTATTGATATAAATAAAAATTCCATATAATTGCATACAATGATGAGAATAAAAACCAAAACTATAATAAAAAATCATTGTTATTTTTATTATGATTGAACAAGTCTGCACTACGAATTATTTTTATATAATGAATTTATATAATATATTATTATTTTTTATATTTAAAGTGTTTTTATTAATTGATAAGAATGCAACTATAGGGTTACAATTTTGGCTGACCAATGCATGACTAGCACTACTTGATCTTGAATTTTGGGAAAATTAAAACAGGATATAAAAATTACAATAATTATTTCAGTCATGATTTATCCTAGATAAAGAATAACTTACAATTATAAAAAATATTTCTAACGAAAAGTAAACTTACAGAAGTAATTAAATAAGTTAAATTATAACGTGACAATAATTTTGATAATGAATTATATACAAATAATCAACTCGAGATTTACTTAAACTCTTTTATTTTCATTTATTTTCAATTTATTTTACACAAGATATAATTTAATTTGTATTTTAAAATGTTTCTTGCTTCCAATAAATTATATATAATAGTATTTAATTATATATAATATAATTATAATGTATATTATATATTATATATTATAATACAATTTCAATATACTTAAATTTATAAATTAATATTGGTTTTAATTATAAAAATGTAATATAATTTATAAATACTAAAATAAATGCTCATATATCATATTTAATAAACTACTGAAAAAAATTTCGATTACAATACAAAAAATATTAAATTTATATGATTGCAAAATAAAAAATATATTAAAATAGTTATTCTATAATTATATAACTTTTAATCACATGTAATATTATATTTTTCATTATAAACAATATAAATGTATGTAACGTAACCAATTATTTCCAAATGACACAATGTTTATTTAAAAATTTCTTTTTAATTTTTTAATGGTAAAAACTAAAATTTTCAAAATCAGTTACACTGATAGAGTTTAGTAATTTTCCAAACACTATTAAGTAATATAATGTATATAAGAATATTATCAATGTTTCTGCAATAATTTAAAAAAATTTTCTATAAATTATATATTATGCCATGACTTGAATATTTTAAATATATAATAAGCTATTTATATTCATAAATAATATTATACAAGTTTGATAAAATTAATTTGATTCACAACTTCAAATATTTAAATAAAATATTTATTTCAAGCCTATCATGAAATTACGATTTCGAAACATTATAGAGTACTAAAAAATAACAAAGTTCAATGTCGTATAATAATTTTTAAATATTTTTAAAACTTTCTTAATTATTAATTCTTTAAAATAATTTCATTAAAAAAAAAATTATAAAAATGCATTATTATAAATCTAAAGTTTCTGCCTTTTACGATCATACGAGAAAAATAAATTTTATTTCAAATTAAATTGTTTTATTGAATTAATAAATATGTAATAGTGTAAAGATTTTTTGCTTCAATTAGTAATTACTTATTTCGTTTTTTAGCCGAAATTTAAGAGCAAAATTAAAAACTATAATTTTAAATGTATTTTATTAATTGCAGAAATAAAAAATATATTATTTAATTTCAAGTTAAATTTTATAATTTAAAAATATTATATCCATTAATGTCATTAATCTTCTAAATATTCCTTATTTATTCAAATAAAAAATCTATATCCATATGCAGATAAATACCTATTTTAAATGAAATTAATATTGTTAAATTTAATATATAAGTATTAATAAAATTAACATTATAATAATAAATATGAAACTATAAATAGATAGTTATTAACAATTTTATATAATATATTTTCAAAAATTGCTACAAAATGAGAGTACATTTTTATTTGAATGGTTTTTTTACTAATTTTGAATAATTTGAATAAATAATTAAAATTAATTAAATATAAAAATGTTTTTTATAAAATTTAAATTTAAAATGACTTTCTAATAATGTATATGAAAATTGTCATTGTTGCACTTCATTATTATTATTTATTATTACCATACTAATTATAAAATATACTAAATTAATAAAGTAAAATCTTATATTAATATATGTATATAATTATATAAAACATTCGATAAATAATATTACGACCAAAAGTATAAGAACTTCAATTATAACAGAAAATATCTTTTTGTATTTCATTTTAATACTAAAATACTTTAAATATATAGTTTTGTTTTATTTTCATTGTACAAATTCATATCTGAATCAAGTAGAAAAGGAAAAAATTAATTTCTAAATTCAATGTAACCAATTTTTTTTTTTAAATAAAGTACATCATATATCTCTTTATTTTTGTTTGCCACAGAATCCTTACTAATACCATCTAGTAAGGCTAATAAAAGTATGCAGTATACAAATTAATATAATGTAGAAAATATATATGAACTACAATAAAACAATTGTAAATAAATGTAATTAATTAACGGATTTAGGTAGATAAAGCTAATCATTAGAAAATATTGTAATAACCTTCTGACTTACCAGATACACGAAATCACATAAAACAGCTGACTGCTGGGGCATACTAAAAGCCCGAGTTCCATAATTTCTCTACTATAATAGCTACTTTTAGTTCTCTTCAATATTCATTTTGCCGCGAATTTCAAATACTTTTATATCTTAAATATAACTACAAAAATTTTAACTTATAAATATCTTCTTGATGCAAACATAAATTTTTCAATAACAATCGTAATTCAATTATTATATTAAAATATTATTTACAGTTCTTATTAAATATTATTTATAAATAATTAAGAAATATTTTATTTTTATTTAAAATTTTTACAGATAAATAAATATACATAATGTAAATAGAATGCTGAAATTTCAGATATTACTAAATAAATATAGCCATTGATACATTTTTAATTTTATATTTTTAGTGCCAAATTATACATAAATTTATATTATAAATAAATGAATTCTTTACAAATCTTATACAATCTTTACAAATACTAATATAAAAATTAAATTTCATGTAATAGTAATTATAAATTCTTTTAATTGTATTTATAATATATATCATCTAACAGGATGATGCATTCTTAAAACGAGCACTAATATCCTTCCAATTAGCAATATCAAAAATTGCCTTAACATAATCTGGTCGTACATTCTTATATTGTAAATAATAAGCATGTTCCCATACATCAATACCAAAAAGAGGTATTAAACCCATTGTTGCCTGTAATGGATCTTGATTAGCACAAACAGCTATTTCCAGTTTTCTGTCCTTTTGATTATACCCAAGCCAACCCCAACCTGAACCTTGAATTGCAATACTTGCATTAGACAATCTTTGTTTGAATTCATCAAAACTAGAAAAGTCATTTTCAATTTGCTTCAAAAGAAGAGCTAAAATTAGATTATTTCATAATACATAATAAATACATAATTCATAATATATTAACTTCATATTAAAATTAAAAAAATGTATATTCTACGTTCTGGTTTTCCTCCACTCGGTGAAAGATTATTCCAAAAAATTGAATGATTTAAATGACCTCCTCCATTGAATTTAACAACTTGTGACAATGCAACTTGAGAATTTATATCTCCTTTAATAACAGCTTCTTTTAATTTCTCTTCTGCAATATTAAGATTATTTACGTATGTAGCATGGTGCTTGGAATGATGCAACTGCATTATTTCAGCACAAATAACTGGTTCGAGTGCCTTGTAATCATATGGTAATTCTGGCAAATTATGCTTTGCCCTAACAAGAATTTCTTTTGTACGTCTAAAATCAAAGATAAAAATTTTCGTTAAATAATCTGTATCTTGTTTAATTCATTCTCATAAAAATTTGAATTAGGAATTGTAGGTTAGGAATTACATAATAATTAACTCATTCAACTAAATCATTAGCTGTATAATAAATTTATTCTTTCTATATAATGTATAAAAAAATGTTTACATACGAAACGCCAAAAGTGAATATCCGTTTTGCCATTAACATATTTACTTTTAATAAAAAAAAAAATATATACTATTCGCTAGTAACAAACAAGAAATAACAAATTTCTATCAGCACCTAAGCTTCGGATGCATTTGCAATTACTTTTTATTAAATGTTATACTGCAACCATTGACTAAAAATTTATCAAGAAATAAAAGAACATTTGAAAAATATTTTAAATGAAGTGATATTAAATTAAAATAATTTCTTAAAGTTTTTCATTCCTGAATTTTCATTTTTCCTGCTTTTACCCTATTTATTGATACGTCCCGAGATGCTTGGCACATCAATTATAAAATAGGTAAATTACTTCTATCTATACTGTATTATTTCTTAAATTATATCTCAACTGTTTATTATAATTAAAATACTTATAAAATAATAACATCATTTTTATATAATAATTTTTTATTATTTTAATTAATTTTTAATATATCATGTTTAAATATCTTGCTAAAATATCATATTTCTCGCTGAAACTAGTGATTGTAGCGCCTTTTATATTACGAGGGAAATTCAAATTTTGCTAAGGTAATAAAGTTCTGAATTTTACACTAGTGACTAACTTGTAAATTAAGTACTAATACTGTTATTGGTTGAAAATAATTATTTTTATTATTTATAGGTTTTTGTGAAACGTTACATTATATAAACATCTAATTCAAAATAATTGTAAATACAAACAAAAATGGTATTGAGCGGTCATACTAGCCGTTAATTTTCTAAAAGTCGTGGAATTAATCGAGTACTAGTTAATATACTGAAAGAGGCAAAAGGTTTTTTGGATTAACTTAAGAACTTCATACTTATTCGTTAATCGATAAAACCTTGGTACCTAAGCATATTTACTTTTTTAAATAATCGTGTAATTGATATTTTTGTTGAATACAATGAACAAAATGGGGTCAACGTCATATATCGGGTCAAAATCTATTCGAGAAAATTTTTTTCAATGGACTGCTAAATGGTTCTATTCAAATCTACCCGAAAATGTAAGTAATTTTTTTTATATTTCTTCTTTACACATAATCATTACTTATAATCATCTAAAAATATTATAATACTACTTTATTATTTAATATAATGTCATTACTTTGACATAAATTAAAAATTCATGAATATATTATTAATTGTTTTTTTAATCAACTTATATTAAATATTAACGAAAAATGGCAACAAATGCTGAAAATATAAATTCAATTTACAATTATAACAAATTCGTTGAATTGTTTTCCTTGATTATTTAAATCTTGTAAATTCTAGTATATTCTTATTCTTAGAACAATATGATATAAATTTACTAAAAGTACTGAATGTGTTTATAAAGTCGGTAATTATACCAGTTTATTACTTGAATTTAAAGTATTATTCATAAAATTAATTCTGTTTTTGGAATTCAAATATTTTTATTTATGTTTCAATTATGTTTGCCAATATATTTTTAAAATATTTTTGTATGTTTTGTGTGTTACAAAAAATATTTTGTAAAAATATTTGTAAATATAAAATCATTTTAAAATATGATTTACAGAATAATAATACTAATAATAAACACTTTAAGTTTCATCATATTTATTTTTATCCTTTTGTTTTTGAAATCTTAGATTTCTTTCAAATTCATATACATAATAACATAATTAATTTACAAAGAAAATAATCTTTCTTCTGTAACTAATAATTATAACAATGTATTGAAAATCTTTATAAATAGAAACTAACCTATCTGACGGAAATTAAGTTTTAAAAATTAATCTTACAAACAATAAAACAATTTATTTATATTGTTAATTTATATAAATTTAAACAACTTCTTTATAAAAAAATACATGAAATATCATTATTTCTATAACTTATTTTTATGTATGAATAAATTCTTTTTTCTTAATGAATTATCCAAATTATTATTTATTAGACATCAATAAAACCAGATATACCAAGTATAATTTGTTTATTACAAACAATTGGCTTCAAGCTTCGAGAATTTGAAAAAAGTGATCGTCTAGTACACAATAAAGATTCAGTTAAAAAAAAAAATATTAGAATAACATTAGAATGTGGTTCTTCAAAAATAACCGCTATTCTCGATATGGATGATATCAAATGTGAATGTCCAGATAATAATGAAACAAAAGATGGTTCCTTATGGAGTATCACTGGCACAGAACCTGTCGGGAGTACGGTATGTCCAGCATTTTTAATCAATAATAAACTCTTATGTATTACTGTTTATACTTACATATATAATGATAAATTTTGAACATTTTTCATTTTAAATTAATATTTGATTGTAAAAAGTAGAAACTTGTTTAAAAAACAAAATTAATTTATTCACATTATTTTACTATTTTAGTATTTTTATATTTATTATAAATTATTATTTATTCATATGCAATTAAAATTTATATTCTTATACTATCGAAAAAATACTAAGTTTATGAAATAATTTGTCTGTGTTAAAACAAAAAAATAAAATTCCTTATATAGACTTATATTTTAATTCAGTAAATAAAAATTAATTTAAATAATTGTATAAGATTTAAAAAAATATATTTAACATTTTCATGAATAAACTATTTAAAAATTATTATAATCATAAAATTATAAAATTTACAAATTTTATATATTTACAAATGTATTAACATTTGTATACAGTATAAAAAAAATTTATGCTATGGTTTAATAAAAGCTAATATTTTTTTTTTTTTTTTTTTGGTGAAAAATTACAGAAGTAAATTTTTTTTTAATCTGATAATATTTGCAAGTAAATAATTGTAATTAAATAAACTGATAATATTGAAAAACTAATAAGTTAATACAACTTTATAATATCTATTTATAAAAATTGCTTTATGTAACAATCTTGCATAAAATAATAAACAAACAAAAACAAAAAACTTTTAATATGAAATATTACTAAATTATAATATTCGTATCGGAATTTAAATATTTTCATTTATAATATTAAAAGACTGTAACAATATCCCATTATTAATATTTTAATAAATTATATTCTTTAAATTTAGCTGAACATCACGTTTTTTAAATAAAATTATTGTACTAATTTAAAAAAATCATTTTCAAGAGCATCATAAATATTTACATTTTGTACTGTTATGATAATTACGTAATGTTTAAATTATAATTATAATGCAATTACATTATACAATGTAGATAATATGTAACATTTATTAGTATACATAAAATATTAAATATCAAATATTTAACAACATTATATGATTTAGAAATATTTCGATATAAAAAATACTTATAAAACTTTAATAAAATATTTAAAACAATATATTAGATAGAAACTATAAAAGGAGAAACTTGTTAATGATACAATAAACATATTTATTGTATAGAAAAAGAATCAATATAAATACAATAATCTAGTAAAAATTTATATATTAATATATGATCGATTCATATATGCTTTGTATTACTTAGAATAAAATCGAATATGAACTAAAATTGAATACATATATTTGAATACAATTATTAAAAATCAGATAACAAATTCACATTTAAAAAATTATTTTTACATTAATTTAAAAATATTTGATGGACAAAATTATTTTTATTACTGAAACAAATAAACTTTTTTTAAATCTTTTACAGGAGAGTATAAACAAAATAGAGAAAACCGGAAGCAACTTATTGCCTACAATGTCAAAAGAAACAATGGCCGTTGTACGTGATGTTGTTCATAGACTCTTTAAAACTATTAATAAAAATAATTTTAATCAAAATATAGATTCAAGTAAAAATCTATCGACTTCATATAAGGATGTAATAGGAATGAAAAATACAAAAAATCTTATTCGCAGTTATACAGACTTATACGATAAAAATTATAAATCAAAAAATAACACTGACATTAAAAAGGTTACTCCTTTCAAATAGATTATAATAATAAATTATTAATCAATACCATATTGTATCAATACCATAAATCATATATTATAGTATATTTTATTCTTATTTAATTCAAAATTATTATATGAAAGTTATTAAGTGTTAAAATACATTAAACAAGTAAATTTAAATGCATAATACATGCAAATTTCACGTTTAAAATTAAATTTAATATTAGAATCATTTTTTGCAGTATTCAAACATAAAGTCAATAAATTTAATAATAAATTTAAAATTAATCGTGTACTATCTATAAATTGTTATATACTAATCCGAAAATGAAATGTAAAGTTTCGATTACTTATTTTTTTTTTTTTTTTTAGATTCGCCCAAATTCAAAATTAGTTTCCTCCATAGACACACAAAAATTAATTCCTTATAAACCAAAATTGACGAGACAAGATACTTACGATATCAAAGTTGAAAAAGAAAATATGGAACCTCGCCCATCGCCGCGAAAAACGACAATTTCGTCAGTACCACCCGAATTTTCCATTTCCCTTGGTGATATATCAATACAAAGTGAAGAAGAAATTTTTGATTTAACGGAATATGTTGTAAAAGCATATGAAATTTTAGGAAAAGCCGTCTATTCTATTAATAAAAAACTTCCAATTAATTGCAGTATTTCTTCGCTTCAAGGTAATAATTATTATAATAAAAGTTTTTAGAGATAAATAGTAGTTACAATATATCATATACATTCAATGTCTTTTCTAATGCTCTACTTATTTCTCTTACTATTGTACTACACTGAATGTATATCAGGAAAAATTTATTTTCATTTTTTTTATAACATTCTCTGTTATTAATAAAGAAATTGGTGATATTAAATCGAATTCTCCAAAAATAAAAAAGGGCAGAAAATAACTTGCAATACTAACAAATTTACACAGCCAACTACGACTTCAAATTCGTCTGCAAAATACATAAAACAAAACTGCCCTAAATACAATATATGAATGGAATAAATTTCGCAATGAAATAAAATATTTTTCGAACATTTTTAGAAGACAATAGTTTCGTGAGGCCAACGACTATGCCGTTAATGAACAGCAGTTTCTGCATAACCAGTCCTTGCGCCTCTACCAATAGTGGCCTCCTCAGTCGCAGTATGAACACCGATGGTTCGTCTCGACCCAGTTCAGTCTGCTCCATGCAATCTCGGCCAATAAGAGCCATTCCAACCTTGAAAAGGTCTACCCTCCAACACTGCAGCCCCATGAAGATGCCACCGATGCGCGACCGTAGCAGCTCCTGTAGTGTAGCCCAGCGTCCGCAACCCGCACCCTCTAAAGCCTTACTTCGTACCGCATCTGGGCCAACTAGGCGAAATAGCACCAACGTCATTGATTCCGGACTTGGTAGCTGCACGATTTTAAAAGATACATTCTTCGAAATTTATCAAATTTGAAACGTAATCGATACGACTTTTTGGTTACTTAGATACATACAAATGAAAATTTTGAATATTACACAAAGTATTACATAATTAAAAAATTATTACTTGTTTAAGAAGAATTCTTAAATTTTTACACTTTTTCTTATAAAATATAAAAAAATAAAATATTTATGAGTTTCGTGGAAATTAAAACAAGTAGAATCATATTTATTCATTGTTTATACTTTATTCAATTATTCAAAACTATTATAGTACTTGTTCATTTTACTCAAGTGAAAAATGCGTTGATATTTGAACTAATTATATATTTTATATTAAAATATATGAAATAGAAAATTGTCCATTGTGTCACCTGCTAAATATAAACTTTATATTTACGTAAGTCAATTTAATAAAAACGAATATTGTAGCTAAACTACTGCCGTATTGCTTTAATTCGGTGAGATGCGCTTTATGAACGTCAATATCATAAACTTGAATAATCAAACGAATATAACTTAACTATCATTTTTTTCAATAATACCTCATGTAATCCCTAAAAATGATGATACTATTTCATAAAATGAAAAATAATTATATCAATGAATACAAAATTAATCATATAAATTGATGTAAATAATTTACGGGTATCTTACGATACTTAGACGTTAATACAGAAGTATGACGCAACATCTGCTTTTGAATTATAGCGCAACGCCTTGTATCACCGAGGCCTTATCGAAAAGATAGAAGATCTAACACAGAGTCTATTCGGGTTGATGAGGAGAGTTCGCGGCATCCTAAAAAGGTAAGTATGTATTATTTTTTTATTAAATTATATTATTATTTTTAGTTATAATTAAAGAAAAATGTTTTCCTTAATAAAAAAATCCGATGTAATAAATATTTAAATGCCTAATTATGAAAAATGAATCTTTGAAATGAATCACTTTTGTACTTGTACACCTTACATAATAATCATGCTAATATCTTACGAATTTTACTGTATTGAATAATATATAATTACACCATAAAAATTAAATTTAAAAGTTTATCGTCTAAATTACGAAAATATAGAAAAAATAATAAATTCTTTCTCAAATGCACTATATTTTTATTTATATTTTAATGCTTTATTATTATTATAAATATAATTCATGTATTTAAAGATACGTTTATATTTTGAAAATAATGCTAAATATATTTATATTTACATAAAAATCTAATAACTTTATTACTCAGATTATGAATATTTAAAATCTAATCATCCATCATACTATTCTAATTGTATGTGTACATATTACAAATTTTTGGAATTTTGGAACTGACTATTATAAATTTTTCGTTTTATTCTATGATTTTGTTTCGTATAATTTTATTACTTTCCTCATATTTATTCATGCTCCTAAACCTTGTACTTTTATTCTTAATATATATTTTATTTCCTCTTTATTTCATAAAATTATTTCAATTCACTTTACTTACTTTTTCACAATTTATAAATCTATTTAAATTCAACTTGATATTTAATTTCATTACCTCTATATAATGCAAAAAACAGATCTTAATCATGTTACAATATTTTAAAAAATATTTATTTTCATTTCTCTTATAACATTCTCTGTTATTATTAAAGAAATTGATTATATTAAATCAAATTTTAATATTCTTATTATAAATTTACGTATTTTATTTTTAAATTCTACCGTCGCTACCTTACTTACTAAACTTTTTTCCAATATTTACTCTCTCAGATATCCTTATTGTTGGTGTTGGTATTTTTGTTGTTGTCATTATTCTTGTTATAATTCTAAATCCTTTACTACCCTGTAATTTATGTCAGTCATTGAAGAAAATCTCGAATAATTCTTTAACAAACTCTCCTTGATCAGAAAAATATAAACATTATTAATTTTCGCTTATTTCTATAGTTATCGTCGTAAACATAATCTCGAAGAAAATTGTTAGTTAAAAAGAGCATAAAATAACTTGCATTTCTAAATAATTTACACAACCAACAACAATGAATTCTAAGTAGTCTGCAAAATACATAAAACAAAACTGCCCTAAATGCAATATATGAAAGAAATAAATTTAATAACATAAATTTTAATTTAAATTGTCTCTATAATTACTTGATGATGGTTTACTGTTGAACATTATGGTCACGCGTTTTAACTCAGAAATGATGGGATGGTTATCACTTAACGATTACAGTAAAATATTAGTGCGGTTGATGGTAAAACGGACATCCAACCATCTATACCCTGAGTCGATATCCTACCTAATTATCGAAAAATAACTAAATATAAAAAAATTAGTTTAGTCTATCACTTTTTCAGGTATTTTAGCTATACACTTTCCACTAAAGATATATATACGATGGCGTTTTAAAAAGTATATATACTTCAAATTATTTTTTCAATTTGTTCCATTACTTAATATTGATAATATTTTTAATTCTATTCCAACTATCGTTTAACTATACATATTTAAAAATCATATATATTTTATATTTTAAAGTTATATAATATTTTTTCATTTCTCGTTGAATCGTGTTTGTGAATTTTTTTCAGTTTTTAAATTTAAAGTTATTTTCTTATACTTTTTTTTATTGAACCTCCTATATTAATCTTTGGCCTAAATTTATTTCATTTTTTTTTTATAATTAACCGTTTAAAAATCTTCTTTGTTTTATAATGTTGCAAAGAACAAGCAAATGCCTCAAGAAAGTATTTTTAAAGTACGTCTATGTTTACAAAATTCTGAATTCAGTTAACTTAATCGTATCTGTATAATAAACAAAGTTTACTCATATTTTATATTCCATTTGCTTTGGAGCAACCTTAATTCTGACATAATATTAGCCTTAAAAGAAATTATACTTGATTCTTTTTTAATAAAGTAAAATATTTTTTGGGTATCTTTTAGACGGCAATAGCTTCGTGAGGCTAACGACTATGCCGTTAATGAGCAACAGTTTCTGCATAAGTCCTTGCGCCTCTACCAATAGTGGCCTCATCAGTCGCAGTATGAACACCGATGGCTCGTCTCGACCCAGTTCAGTCTGCTCCATGCAATCTCGGCCAATAAGAGCCATTCCAGCCTTGAAAAGGTCTACCCTCCAACACTGCAGCCCCATGAAGATGCCACCGATGCGCGACCGTAGCAGCTCCTGTAGTGTAGCCCAGCGTCCGCAATCCGCACCCGCTAAAGCCTTACTTCGTACCGCATCTGGGCCAACTAGGCGAAATAGCACCAACGTCATTCATTCCGGCCTTGATAGCTGCACGATTTTAAAAGATACATTCTTCAAAACTTATCAAATTTGAAAATTTAGAATCTATTATTGTATTGCAAAAAATTGCTATATTACATTATTAATATTTTCAGAATAAAATATTTCATAGGTAATCGTTTAACTATCTATCTGTTATTGTAGGTATCTATATTTTATTTGTTTATCCTTGTCTTCACACATCAATTTAATAAAAATAGTTTATCATATCTAATAGTAAATATTAACAAGTTTTTTTTTAATATGAGTGAAGAAATTCGTTTCACTGTAATATGTACACAGTAAAATAAAGCCTCGATAGATTAAAAAAGATAGTTACTTAGGTTCTAAAAAATTTTAACAATTGAATTCAACGATCAAAGTCATATGAAAAGAATTTAGTGTGTGAGAAATTAGTTATGTGATGCAAAGTTTATGACATAATATCATTTAATTTTTTACAATCTTTTTTCATTTCTCATAATACATATATTAAATCGTAGATTTCACCGTTCTCCTACGACTAATGATTTTTCATATTTTTATAACATTAATTAAATTGAATTGTTAATAATGATGTAAATATTTAAAAAATTTTAGTCTTAGTAAAGTAGAAAGTTTAATACAGTTGAACCAAACAAAATGAAAAAAATAATATTCACACACAATTGTTGGAAAGGAGTAAAGACTGTCCCAATGTTTCTAAGCTATATGTAACGACTCACCACAATAATTGCCTAGTTTTTTTGCATATTTAAATACAAGTATATTTATACAATCATAGCTTCCCTAAATAAAAAACATTTTTTTAATTGAACAATTTATGACAAATATTAATTACAATACTTATTAATAAAAAAAAATTTTAATAAAACACCCTTGCATATCAAAAATATAGTTAAGTCATTAAATAACATGAATCATTAGTTTGCAAAAATTATTATATGTATGCAGTATCCGAAAAATTTGAATTTAAATATAAACTTATATTTTTAATACATATTGTTTAAATAATCAAAAACATTTTGATAGTTTAAATTTAAACGTTATTATCCAAAAAAAATTAAGTTGAAAAATATAACATATTAAATATTTTGATAAAAACTGAAATATAATATACACTTATATTTTAATAATATTACATTATGCAAATTATGATTTAAAATTACTTGTTTGTTCATTAATACATGGTTCTATTAGTGTTTTATTTTCGTTTCAATTTCATATGCCCTAGCTATATTAAATCAAAATACTATTATTTTTTATTGCTACATACAATTAAATTAAAAATGGGTTATATTTGTGGTTTATTGTAAAATACTTAAATTTAGAGGGGTTCATTTCCTACATTAGATAGACTACCTATAATTCAAATTTGATTTATTTTATATGGTTCTATAAATAACACAGTTTTTACCATATAATACAAAATGAAGCTAATAACTATAATAATTTACAAAATTATCGTATTTATTGAATAAAATAAGTACTTATTTTACACTCTTGCAAAGATGATCTTCATAAAATGTTTTTTAAAGTTTGATAATCATTTTTCTCAAAAAACTTCTTCAGTCGTTTAGAACATTAATGCTTATATTTGAAAGGCTCGCCGAAATTCCTAGCGCATGCGCAAATTTTATAATTTATAAAATTAAATAGGCATATTTCCATGCATCCAAATCATAAACTTAATTAGTCTAAAATGTAACTTATACGAAAACAAATGATATGATAAACAAATTATCTTACAATAAACTTTTAAATATATATTTTAAAATACTCATTTGTTAGACCCATCGAGTTTCACACGTGAACAGTAATTTTCCTCCAAATATAATCTTGTAACAGCCTTTACTGTTAAAAGCCAGAAGGTGGAAGTAAAATTACAGAAATATTTGAAACTGGTAATTAAAAATATAATTTAAAAATTTTAGTACTAACTAGAGAAACTAAAAATCTGGAAGCCCTAGATAAACGATAGATAAACATCATCCCTCAAAGTAATATACAGAAACAGACTGCCGAATTGTACTAAGCGACGTAACGCCCTATGCATGAGTATTATTGCTCTAATTGTGTACATTCCTTTGCGCATGTAGGTGTGCGTACGACGATATCAGCTCGATCGAACACAAGTCGGACGCACGACGAGTCTCCGGTCATCGCGGTCGACGTCGTCATCGACATGTTCGCGTAATGGCGTTGTTCCCACTTATGAGTACGATCATCCTAAAAAATCATCGCTCTGTTGAAAATCTTATTGCACCAGAATTACTTCAATTCAGCAAGCACTATACTTGTGAATGAAAGAAGGCGAGTAATCTATCGGAGACAGAGAGGATAAACTCAAGTACTCTCTTTTGTACGTAATGTTGAGTATGCGTTCTACGCACGAGCACTGTTGTTGCCGCCGACGCCATCCTCTCGTGAATTCCTAAATCGGGGCATCAACGCGTCAAAATTTCCTTATTATATGCATTTGTCAGTAGTGAAAGATTATAAATGCTAATGGGTGACCACGCGTTAAAGAGAGAATAAAAGAGATAATATGCCTTGAAAGAAGGGGAAAGGAAGTACAAAGTTCTTGAATCCCCTCGAGTCATCCCCCCTATTACACTTCGCTTTCAAGCCCCTCCGTGCTGTTCACAAATTACATGCAAAAGTAATAAGAAAAAGAATGACTATGCGTATGGATATAACTGTGTGAGAAAGTGGTGACTTGTCGAAGCTACAGAGGAAGTAATACGTCTGTATTTACGTTCGCGGCAAATATTTTATAGATTTCCACCAATTTTTCGTGAAATTGTTAAACCTTTTATGACTAATACTATACTTCAGTATTCTCGTTATTCGTGTTGTATAAATAATTCATAACATTCTGTAAATCAAAATTTTGTTAAATAAGTTCCTGTATTTTAGACCCACACTCTTTTAGTAAATATGTAAAGCATTATTTACATAAATGTGTCTCTTTCACTTGCAGAATTATCCATGTATTCGAAAGTAAAGAATTGACCGTGGAAGAAGAGAGAGTCTCACTCGACTGCGAGAGTACTCATTTATTTGAACCAAGGTTGATAGCCACTGAAATGGCTGAGGAGAGCAACGAAGTTAAGTCAACTGGACCTTCTTCACCTCGAAGTCCCCACAATGGTAGTAGTGGCAAGGCTACTAGTCCTCGTTCACCCAAGCAAACACGCAGAGTAAAGTTAACTGACCAACAGCTGGAGACCTTTAATAAGGATGAGCTAGCAGCTAAATGGCGAGAGCAGGACTTATATGTGGAGTGCCTAGAGACACAAACAGCAGCCTTGGAAGGTACTGAGATCACTTGAAAGTGAGAGCATCTCACTACCTACATTTTTTAAAATTGACATTTTCAAAATCAAGCCATGAATGAAATTGTTTTTCTATTTTGGACGTTTAGAGATATTAAGTACATATAAAAATGAAAATTCTAATTGCATTCCAAGTGTTAAATCTAATTTAGAGCTCAATAAGAATTTTATAAGCGTTAAAATTTTATTATTTCCTATAATTTATAAATTAGCTATAAGGCCAAATAGTTTTTACATTTATTATTATGTTTAGGATGTATTATTTGCTTAAATTTTGAAGGTGATGTGCTGTGCAATAATCATTTGTGTATTGATTCAAAAGTGCTTTCTAAATATAAAATTTATGTGAAAAACTGTGATATTCAGTGCCAAGATGAAATTGAATTTTGTAAATCATTGGTTCACAAAAAAATTCTAAAAGCTGATTGGTGCACGATTTTCCTTGCTTATAATATATATGTGTCAGTGCTATATTATTGAAAAATTAAGTCTTTTAAATCTTAATTTAGTATATAGTATGAAAGGGTGAAAATTAGTGTTTTTGAACTTATTCAATTTGTGTTTAACTTCATCATAAACTTGTATTTGAAGACATCTATAAATTTTAATCCACATCCAAAGCATATTGTTTGTCACCAAAACATGCTCTTTCTATAAACATAAAATTTCTAAATAGTAACTAAAAAGATCTCATTAAATGTATACAATTCCTTGAGTAATTTGAATTTTTCCTATTTCCATACTCATCCTATTCATCTCCAATGATTTCTAATCCCTTTTATGACAAAGATGTGTCTATTGTGCCAATATTCAAAAGGATTGAGTATTATATTATTTAAAGCTATAGAAGAATAAAGGAGTTTCCTGCGGCAATCATCAATGACAGAAATCTCACAGCACCTCACCATGATGCTACCAGTGTGCTGAAGTGCCACCATTACATTTAATCAAAGTATGCGTCAATTAAAAATGTCATTAGTTGGACAATTTAAAATCACTATTGTATTCCAATTTTTATGTGCATACATTGAATACATATAGTTCATTTTCGAAGTTGAAACTTTAATTCCCCTGTTTGAAGATTGCTAGAAATTTTAGATTTTATTCCAAGTTATTTAGTATAGATAAAATAATCATATAGCTCTTCATTTACTAATATTATATTTGTAGGAAATAATATTTTGTATATGATATTAAATTCTTATAAATCTTTTTAATGTCAACTAAAAAGTAGAATATATATGTGGCAATTACCAAATAAATAAATGAAATATAAATAAATTTTATCCAGAAATAATAAAATTATTAGTTCGATAGCACTAATATTCTTTTTATATATTAATTCAAATTTTATTTAAAAAAAAAGTTGATATTAGTATGACAAAATGATTTATGAAATTTTATATCTGCAGAAAAAAAGTAATTTTTATAATAATAATATATTTCATAAGATCATTATTTTGATATTACAGGAGACATTGCTTTATTAAGAGAATCTGAAGAAAAATACAGACAACAATATATTGAGGCATCACATAGAGAAAAAATATTAGTAAGGAGACTTGCCTCTAAAGAACAAGAATTACAAGAATATGTGGTTAGTACTATGGTATTCTAATTTTCAACTTATGTTCACAAGAAAATGAAAATTAATTATAAAATATATATTACATAGAATCAAATAACCGAAATGAAAGCCACACATGCACCATCTGCTGCAGCATTAAGATCTACTCTTCTTGATCCAGCTGTAAATATACTTATACAAAAATTACGTCAAGAATTAGTCACAACAAAATCAAAATTGGAAGATACGCAAAATGAATTAAGTGCCTGGAAATTCACTCCAGACAGGTATAATTTTTATTATGATATAATTTTACTTATTATTTACGTAAGTATAATTTTTATATATGTTTATAGTAATACAGGAAAAAGGTTAATGGCAAAGTGTAGATTATTATATCAAGAGAATGAAGAACTAGGACGAATGATATCTAGTGGCCGAATTGCTAAATTAGAAGGAGAACTTGCTCTACAAAAAAGTTATAGTGAAGAAGTTAAAAAATCACAATCTGGTAAATAATATATTTGTGTAATTGTTATTTCATTTAAAGTAAGTTTTTATTATAAATAATATTATTAACATTTATAAAATAAAAGATTATTTCAATATTTAAATACAATTTGGTTCAAAATTGAAAATGTACATTAATTATCTATGTTCAATCAAACAAGTAGTTATTAATAAGCCAACACAAGCATGTATATTTTTCAGAACTAGATGAATTTCTTCAAGATCTTGATGAGGATGTTGAAGGTATGCAAAGCACAATTTACTTTTTACAACAAGAACTACGAAAGGCTCGGGAGTCTGTAACTCTATTACAACAAGAAAATGTATCATTAAAATCTTCTATCGGAGAAAATAATTTAACTAATGGCTTATCACCTCATACTCCTCCAATAAAAAAAGAAGAATTAGAAGAAAATATAACATCGGACGTTAAATTAGTAAAAGCAGAAGATAGTGACAGGTATAAAGGTGCTAGAACGCCTCCTTTACCATCTCAAACTTCGCCTTCGAGTGAATGTGTGAATATTCATAAGCCTGAACGGACAGACAATAAAATACATCAAACAGAACATAATGATGAAAGCTCTAGTGATTCGGCGGCTTTGATTATTAAAGTAGAAAATGAATTATTAAGTGAGCGCGAGGAAGATGATGAAACAAGGACTAATAAAAGGACGTTAAGAACTAAAACTAATAACAGAAGCAGTGGCAAGACAAATGGGGAGGAAGTGATAACAAGGACAACTAGGGGAAGGGATAGGACAAAAAGGGACAAAAGTGTACCAGATAGTGATGATGAAAGGATTCATAAGAAAAAAAGAAGAGAGAGCCTTTTATCTATTGAATATAATGAAGGAGAAGAAGATGCTTTAGTTTTAACTAATGGCGAAATATTACAAAGTGATCCAGAGTAAATTGAATGTTTCCCCATAGCAAACCATTACTAGTGAATATTGATAATAAAAATGAAAAGAAATTAACTTATGGGTCAATAAGATATTCGAACTACAGGAACCTGAAACAAATAGAATTATAAAATCTAAATATACGTTTATCAACGTAATTGTCCATTTTTACACATTCATTTGACCAAGTACTGAATATAATTTAAAAATGACATACTGTATAAACATTTTCTTAATTTGATTTTGTCACAGATTTTGTTATTTCACTGTGATATTAAATCTGATCTATAAAACATTTATTTAAAGCTATTTTCTGAATTTAATTAAAATCAATATTACACTGTATAAATATACATAACTATTAACATAATATAATTAAAAATAAGTGTTTAAAACAAATTTGTATATGCTACATAATTCAGTTTAATGTGTACTCAAAAATTATATATCATAAAATTGAAATTTGTAGTAACTATAAACAACTTATGTAATGAAAATTTTTGCTTTTAAAATAGTATAAACAAACTTCTTATATGCCGTGTTATTAAAAATTGGACGTAATAACAAAATCATTTTAGTCTAATAATTCAAAATGTATACTAGCATACATTTGTTTTTAAAATACATTTCATTTTTTGATTTAATTTGACCTAAAACAAAATATGTATTATTAATTATTTGCAAATAAGCATTTTTCTTTACTGCATTAAAACTATATTCAAATTAATGAAAATAAAAGGAAATTTAAATACTTTTTATAAATTGTTTTTTGTATTAAAAAGAATTGTCTTAAACATTAAAAAAGTTTTCTTGTAGTTTTAATCCAGTTGACAATTAAAATGCATAATATTTATAAACTGATTCAAATTATTTAATTATGACATGAATTTAATGACATAATCATCTTAAACAATCGTTTGTAAAAAAATTTTGTTATAATTACATTTTTGACACATAAAAATATTTAAAAAAAAATTGTATTGTACTTGTTAAAATATCTTACACATGTAGCATAATTGGTTTTTATATTAGAAATTTAATCTACACCTAAATATATTTGAATTTTTATTAAATTATATTTGTTTAAAATTTATTCATTGAAATTTCAATTTAATTTTTTATTTAATTTTATTTTCTATATACATATAAATTAAACTTAAATATTTAACTTTTTTTCTATTTGTATTATTTTGATTTCATAGCTGCTCTATATACATATATATATATATATATCTGAAAAAACTGAATATAATATTCTATCTTCAAAATCTATTAATAAAACAAGGAAAATAAAGTTAAAAAATGATAAACCTTAACAAAATTAAACCTTCTCTTAATAGTCTACCATCTGTAGAAAATCAATAAAATGATGTATTCTATATCCAAAATCATTCAATTTTAAACAACAAATCAATTCGAGTACCAATGAAACTGGAAACATTTTCAAAATTTTTAACGGTAATAATTTATTAATAAAAATATATTTAGAAATAAATTTTATTTCATAAGAATTGATATTTCCATATAATATTTCTTCCCTCTACTATTTGTTTCTGAACCTTAATTTCGTTTTATAATTTGAATCAATGAAAGTAAAAAAATAGTTTATATGTTGATTTTGATTAATTTCAAAACTCAAATTGAAAATTCATCAACGTATTTTCTTAAGAAAACTGTATATACATAACCTCATAAGATGCATCTAATAACATTATTTACTATAAAATAAAAAGTATACGTTAAATTAATTATGAATACAAAATTAAGCAAATCCAATTTTAATATATTTTCATACACATACCTATTTAGAATGGTAATTTAATATCTCAAAACAAAATTTTCAAGTTATTTTATTGCAGTTGGTATATCATTTATTTTATAAAATATTAAAATTAATAATTTTATTATTTTAATATACATACTACTAGCCCTGAATAAATTCTTATTTTTAAACAATATTATTTCTAAATATGTATTTTTATGCATACTACTAATTTTCAGAAAATTTCAAAGGCACAAAATGAGTATAATACCTTCATTAATTTTAATATTTTATTTTTCTCGTGAATATAAGACATTTGTTTACCAATATCGTATGCATGCGTTTTATAAATTTATTTTGAATTTATAAATATTAAATAAAATGTTATTAAATTCTACTTATAGATTTAATAAAGTAATATTAAAAATCAATCGAACTCTGTTATAAATCAATATAATTCATTACATTAAAATTTTGTTATGTATTATTTAATTACAAGAATATTTTATAAATTGGATTGATACTATGTACTATTTTTTTCTTTATACATTTTAAATATGAATATTGATTATAAATTCTTCTACATAAAAGTGAGTAATATTTTAATAACCACATTTAAAAATACTAAATAAAAATGGATACTAGAAATATTATATTTAAAAACGTATTATATTAATTATATATGAACAATGAATATACAGCATATAGAATATAGAAATTATATTGTATTAATTGAAATCAGAAATGTACTTCTAACAGAATCAAAAGTTAAGCAAATCAAATGAATTTTCTAATTGTTAAAATTATAATATTTTCTTCGAATACAGAATTGAATAACATTAGTATAAAAATTTAACATAGTTGAATTAACTTATGCTTAATAAGAATAAGTATTTGTTACGTTTTAAAATATTTTTGAAAAAATTAATTTAGATTTGTAATTTTTCTACTGTAATTATTTAATGAATAACATATATTTTTATGAGTGTACAAGTACATAAAAATATTATTTAAAATTTTTATAATACTGAGGTTTTCAAACACAATTCATGCATTTTTAATTATTTGATTTCTCTATATAGATAATTAAGAAATTCGTGTCTATTGAATTTCTTAAATATTTGTTTTAAACTTTTATCATGATTATTGATTTAATTATTAATATAAAATTAATATAAAATCATACCTCTAAGAAATTTGTTTACCTAACAGTAATCAATTTACAAAATTTTGTTAATATAGCTAGCTAAAAAATTAATTTAATTACTAAAATTGAACGATAACATTATTTAAAATAAAAGTATTTTCAATTTTAATAAATTTAATATTGGATAAAAAATATAAGTGAAAACATTTTACTACTATATTTTTTCACTTATATGATAGAATTTGCAATTTTCCGTTTTTTCTTATTTAATTACATTACATATTATAGACAGATAATTCATATAAATAATTTTTATTATATTTAGATATTTCTATAGACGAAGAAATATTAATAAATTTTTAAACACTAATTAATGATAATTTATTTATAATAAAAATGTAAGTAATTATATATTAAATAAATTTTTCTAAGTTATATAATTAAAAAAAAAACAAAAATTCATCACACTAATGCATTCAAGAAATCTTTTATATAGTCCTATTATAAATTAGTTATTTTGTAAAAATTTTCAATTCTTAATTTTAATTACATGTGATCTTATTCAACTATTATTCGAAGGCATAATTAAACTTACGTTGAAATAATATTAAAATAATATGAAAAATACTCATTCAAATATATTATTATATGTTTAATGTTAATAAAGCTATAATTTACAATAAAATAATTAATTATATAACTTGACTACATTTCACTCACTCTGTTAGGAAGACATTCTCTCTTTAATACTTTATATTTATGAAATAATGAAGAAAAGTATTTATATCAATTTACTTTATATCTTTATACTTTATACTTTATAATTTAATTTATATCGTTTTATATATATATTTTTTTTTTGTTAAAATCTATTACAAAAGTAATTTTTATTTTTAAAACGTGATAAAATTACTTTCTTCAGTTATATAATCAGTAACAATATTCAACAATTATAATTTTGCTATTTATATTCTATTGTTAGACATACAGAACCAAAAGTAAAACAAAATTGTACAAATTTAAAAAAACTATATTTTTCATCAAATATAACTGAGTATATGCTTCCAATTTTCGAATTCTTAATTTAAATTTTGTCCTGTTTGAAGCTTGGTCCGAAATTTCTATTCCTTCCTAAATACTGTAAAACAAACATAAACCCTATTCTATTAATAAATATTGTACATTATTTATTAAATGCGTAGAATGATCTTTAAAAATAACATGTTTATATAAATGCACGTTAATTATAATAAAATATAATATAATAATTCTTTTTACGTTAAAATTCAACAAATTAAATATTTTTACTAAATATAACTCGATAAATTGGTATTTACATTAATTTAAAAACATTGATGTATTGAAAAGTTTACAGTATCAAAAATACCGAGAAGAAACGCTTCTAATTTTTTGTAATTTTTAGCTTAATAAATTAAATACTGAATAAAATTACTATTTATAACTAAAATTCTTTATCACTTAAATATTTATTTACGTTGCAGAAACATGTTACAAAATAAAATAATTAAACCTTTGAAATTCTTAATAATAAATTAGTACAATACGATAAAACCTAATTTAGCAGTTTCTATTAATACGATAAAATAAAAAATATTCATGAAGCACGTGGTTAAAGTATTGGATTAAATAAAAATATAGATAAAGTCACTATTCAATGTTTAAATATGACAATAGAATTAATAATCTCTATATTGTTGTTTTGTAATTTCTAAAAAAAATTAAGAAATATTTCTATAATTTTTGATAATAATAAATATTTAAAAAATTAAAACATTATTATCTAATTTAAAATAATAAAAAAGTAGTGTACATGATATACGATATTCTTAAGATACAAAATGGTTATCGGCTTGGTGCTCTCTGTCGTCTTTAATTAATACTACACATCAATTGGATTTTTTATGTTTAATATAAATAAGACATTTAAAAATTAATAGCATTTTCTGATATTATTAATTTATTTTTAATTATTTTATATAAAATTCTATTTAGATAGCATATAAAAAAATTTTAAATGATATTTTGTTATTCTAAATTTCAAAATTATTATACTATATATACAAGATTATTTCATATAATATTTAAGTAATAGACTATAAAATCAATGTGTTAGTAATAGCTACCTTATTTTCAATATTAGAAGAATTTAATTAATATAAGCCCATTAATAAGCAAATTATAAGAGACACAACGTTCATTGTATCATTACACTAATATCTAATTTTTAATAAATAAAAGAATAAATTCAAGCTTAATTTAACTGAAAAATAAAACAATAGATAAATTATTATAATATTCAATATAGACAAAATTAGCATACCGAATCATAAACTGTAATTACGTATTTATTATTAGCCATTTTTCATTAATATATTTTTATAAATAGATCCTTACAACTGACAAAATATGGAAAGGTTATTTTTAAAAAAATGGTAAAACTTTATTCTATAAATTAATTAAATACATTATGACAATATTTGTAAATCACAAAAGATACTAAATACATTTTTCTATCAATTTTACATATAAAGTGTAACATAAAAAATATGTACGCGAACTTGTACCTTCTACATAAGTGCTACAATGTATATATCCCTTATATTATAAAAACAAACTGATGAGTTAAAGGAAATATATACTAACACATTTATTTCCTGTTATCAATAATTAATTTTTAATATTTCATCAACTTTTTATGTAAATATCATTAATTAGACTATGTTATATATTAATTATTAAAACGATTTATAAATATTCGACCAAATAAATACTAGTAAAATTTAATATATGACCCTTAATTCAGTATGAAATATTCAATATTTTCTAAATTAATTATTTTAGAAAAGCAGTTATTAACATTAAAACATAGATAATATATTTATACATTTGAATATCTTTATATATTTGAAAATATTAATATATATAATTTATAAAATAAACAGATTTTTCATAAGAAAAGTTTTTTTAAAAAAATAAAAAATTTAAAAAAATATATTAATAGACGATGTTTGTTGCAAAGAAGTTTCAAATTTGCTTAAATAGACCTTGAAAAATATTTTCATTTTTTGTATTTATAAAAATAATAGATATTAAATTGTTTATTTATATAAAAAATACTTCTAAAAAACAAATATAAAGACTTAATTTCCTATATAGATCATGTATAAGATCATGTATAAAATTGTCTGCAATGAATTTTTTAAATATAATTTTTATATTTCATCTAAAATATATTACTAGTTAAATTAATTAATTATTCCAACGATTTTTATAAATTTCATACATTTCATATAGTTAATGAATAATATTATTTTATTGTTATACATGTCAAATAAAGTATAAAAATATATAATAGATAGTTCATAAAAATAAAGCATTAATTTAAGAATTTTAACCTATTGAGACTTATGTTTTAATTTTTCGTACAAAATTGTTTATATGACTAAACAATGAATAAACATTCATTTTGTAAAATATTCTTTACTTAATTTCAATAGTTATAAATACAATTTTCAAAATTTTTAATATCAAAAGAAGCCTATTCATTTCCAGTGAAATAAATTTTTAAAAAATATAAAAATTATAAAATTTATACTTATGAATATGTCTATAAATCATTGGTATAATAATATATTTTTAATAAGTAATATATTTATTGTGATTTTACATTTATTAAAATATGTTTTCATTGTAAAGTTTTTTTTATTAATTTATTAAATAATCTATTTAAAAATTGAAATTTTAAAGTATTTCATACAAAAAAATAAAATAATGTCAATTAATAATTATTTCGATATTGAAGATGAAAGCGTAATTTAATATATATTTTTAATCGGTTAAAATATATTTACACGTTAAATTTCAATTATTTATTTAATATTCAAATAAATTTTTATTAATAATTGTAATAATAGTAAATTGGAATATAATTTATTAAAATGTGGAGGCTATCTAATATTAACAATAGCAATTTTCATTTGAATCTATAGAATCAGAATTGACATTTAAGTTATTTAAATATCTCTATATGATTACAGTTTTAATATTTTTATTCATAATATTATCAAAATATCTTCATATTACACTTTTATTTCTTCAATTTTTCATTTGAACATAACTAAAAATACATATGCAATTAAACAAGACAATAATAAAGTCATGTGCAAGGTGATACATGAACGTGCTTAAGGAATGAATAACATTAACGTATAAAGTATAACCGGAAACAAACAAAATGGTGGAAGGTCATAAAAACTATAGTTCAGGTACATTATTATTATATTTGTTCTATCATTATTCTCCCTTTGCAGTATTTGGTGTTTTGATAAATGCATTAATTTCATTATCAGAATTTAATATTGAATAAAATTTATTCGGTATAAAAAAATCTATGTTTATTATAAAAGAGTCTTAGCTTCAAAAGAACGTACAAAAAATGCACAAGTTTATAAATAGATCGACTGAAAAAACCGTATTTGGTAAATTGACCGTAATATAACCAAATCACTGTTGCAAGCTGTAATGTATCTTTGAATTTAAAAATTTGAAGTTAAAATTTAATAGTTTATCTATAATTTTCATATATTAAATTTATTTATATTTTATTTTCATATAAATTTATATATGTTTACTTAAATATATATTGAAAAAATATAAATTAAAAATATTAATTTAACATAATCTTTTATAAATGATGCAAATTATTCCCTTTTATTGAATTCCTGTTCTAATTAAATACCAATTAATTTTTACATATACTTATTTCATAGTTAGATAAGTATTTTAACAAAAGCAAATTAATATAACTTAAAAACAGTTAATGCATTAGATTGCCATACAAATTGAAATTATAAAACTATATTATTTGCACGCGAAGAATAAGAACATTTTAAAAATCAATTTTTTACATAATTATAGAAGTAAATTTAAATATAAATTAAGTAGGTCGCATTTAATTTTAATACTTTATAGGTAAACTAAATTGAAATGAACTTCGAATAAGTATTGACTATAATTATTAAAAAATCAAATTTTATTTTCTTACTTTTAAATTTTACTTCTCATCAGCGCAAACTGCATAAAAAAACAAGTAATGGTATTACAGAACAAAAAATTACATTAGAATGAATTTGAAAGTAATAATATAGAAATGGATGATTAACGAAAAATTCAATTTATATTCATAAAAATATATCATTTATTTACGAGACTCAATTCAATGTATATTTTTAACATTGTTAAAACATAATAGTATACTTCTCTTTAATTGAAAGTAAAAAATGTAAGTTTTAAATTTAAATTTATATACTCATTAAATGAGTATGAATCTTTGATTTTTTTCATATACATGCGAGGGATAACAAATTTTGGTAAAAATTTTTTTAAAAACAAGGTAATAATAAAATAGGTAAGGTAAAAATAAAAAAGGTTCTTCTAAGTAGTTAAATGTTTTTTTAATAGTAAAATGTTTTGTGTATATGTACTAAACAAAACATATTATATAAACTATATTGTTGAAATAACAGTTAATTACAATATTTTTCATATTTATTTAAATATTAATATGGTGGCATTAAATTTATATTACACTCAGTACACTTATGCCAATCTCATGTGTCAACGATTACTTATGCGCAAAAATTAATTTTCGTACAGGCATGTACTCTCGCTCTCTCTCTCTCTCTCTCTCTCTTTCTCTCTCTTCTATCTTCAGTCTCTGCCGCGAATAACATTATAATGCTGTCCTATCATAAAAATTCCGATGAGCTGCATACAACTAAGCCTGTAATGGCATGGAAATGTCATGGAAATGAAGGAGCATGAAAATAAAAGTACATGAGAAGTGTGTATAGACAGAGCGCATCGCACACAAGCATAAGTTGTGACGGAGCAGCAGGACGATAATGTTATAGCAGTGGCGCGCGTGAGATCGCCGTGTGCACACGCTGGTATGACGACGAATCGCGGTTGTCGTCGTCGTCGTCGTCGTCGTCGCCGTCGTCGTCGTCGTCGTTATAGTGGTAATGCATCCATTTCAGTGATAACCTTCATGCAGCTAACTCCGTACAAGTTAGGATTGAAACAGTGACCTTAAAGTACCGTGACAACGTCTTCGTCGCCGTTATCGTCGGTGGGAATGAAGAATAAGTGAAAGTGTTGCGTACGCGCGCGCGCGCACGCATCTGTTTTTTATGCACTCTCATAAGCAAGTATCTATGTTTGATTTCTTTCGTTTTGCACCCCTACCAAGTTATATTCTCTTTTACGGGTGATTTCTATTTTGTTCTTTCTCCTATTTTATTGACAGTGTCATTATTTTTACATTGTGCCGTTTTCGCGTGTTTATCGCCAACTACGGGTAGTGCCTTTTGTTATATCCCATTACAGCAAAAACAAGTCTTGCGTTATTATTCAGTTCATTCTGCCGGAATCAAGCGATCCAGTGACCATGAAGAAACAATTTTTCAGGGTCAAGCAGCTCGCTGATCAAACTTTTTCAAGGTGCATCTTACTGTATTTTTTGCATGTAACTGTTCAAATAATTGAGATTTCAACATTTATATTTGGAACTGCCTTTTTGACAGGATTTATATTTTTAGACATTTATAATTCAATAACAAGTGTTAAAATTATAAATCTCTGTATTTGTAACTTTGAAATTTGCTATTAATGATTATTAGTAATTTTTTTAAATTCTCATAAAACCATTATTTATTTCATTAAATTGATCAGACAATCGTTATCCTATTTGAATTAAACAATTAAGTATTACACTTAATTTGATCATTAATATAAATGATATATCTTATTTTGAAATAGAATTCAAAAGAGCAATTAATATTATTTCCAAATACTTATTATTCTTATTATTCACGTTTATTTTTAGAGCTGAAAAAACAGAAGTCTTAACTGATGATTTACAAGCAGCGGATAAACATGTCGAACAAATTAGGGCTGCCCTTATGGGTCTTAATAAAAGACTTGGTAATAAACCTAGTGATTCCAACATTCAAGATCCTGCTCACAAAGAAAAACGACTTGTAAGCTTATTTTATAAAATTATGGAATTCTTATAGAAAATAATGTATAATATTCATAAATAATATTTTTATAAATAAATATTTATTTAGTAATAATTAGTAATGTTTTATTTAATTTTTATTTTTAAAAGTAATAATATAATTGTGATTAATATTTGGTCAAATTAAATAAAAAAGTTAAATATCAAATAATTTGCAAAGAATATAAAACTCGAACCTATTTTATAAATATATCACAGATATCTTATTTTATATTAAAATATTTTTATTTGATACATAATATTGGATTATTCTTTAGAAAAAATGCCCAGAGTATGTTTTGGGCCAAACCATGTTGGAAAATACAGGCGATGAAGGATTAATGTGTTATACATTAAACGAATGTGGAAGAGCACAAGTAGCCTTAGCTAATGAAGCAATAGATCATGAATCTAAGATAGAACAATATGTTGTTATGCCACTACAACATATTTTAGAGACAGATGTTCCAAATATTTTAAAACATAAAAGAAATCTACAGCGTCTCATTTTAGATATGGATAGTATCAGAACACGGTATCATCAAGCTAGTAAACATAATACTGGAGGTGAAAAATATAGAAAAATGTATCAATTATACATTATTTAAAAAGATCTTAATATGATAAATTATTAATATGTTAAATTACTTGACCTAATCTATATTTTAATCTTTTACAATCGTCATTCACATTGTTGTTCTTCGTTATGTTTAATGTAAATTTTTTTACTATATTATATGAAGTATTATTTGAATGAAATAATTTTAATAATTTTTAAGTTGTTAGTTTCTTCACTTGTTTATCAAAATATTACTATAAATAATTTTCCTATTTACATACTATTATTTAGGTACAGGAACAACGAAAGTAGATAGTCTGAAAGATGAACTTGAAGAAGCCGAAGCCAAAGTAGAACAATGCAGAGATTATCTAGCTGCTGAAATGTTTCAGTTAATGGCAAGAGAAACAGATCTTGCCCAAACAATTATTCAATATATCAAACTCCAACGAGCATACCATGAAAGTGCATTGCACTATCTTGAAGAACTCATTCCAGATTTAGAATGTTATATAAGTAAGTTTTTCAAGTAATTATATAAAAGTATGATGTAAATTTAAGACTATATCCTTTATTAATGATTTTTGCACTAGATGATAATGAAATGAAGCCAGTTTATGGATACTCTTTAGAAGAGCATCTTCGAGTGACAAATAGAAAAATAGCATTACCCATTCAATTTTGTGTCTCTGCCCTTCTGAGGTTAGGGATGGAGGAAGAGGGACTTTTTAGGATAGCTAGTGGCGCTTCAAAGTTACGTAGAATGAAGCTCAGCTTTGATGCTTGCTGTTTGACCCTTCCAATTGTTCTTGAATACAAAGATCCTCATGTGATAGCCGGAGCATTAAAATCTTACTTACGTGAGCTACCAGAACCCTTACTTACCTTTAAGTAAGTGCATGTATATTTACATTTCTATAAAAGTAGTTTTGTAAGATTAAAATTGTTTACTCCGGCTATGAAATTTTGATATCTATACTAAATACTTAATAATATTGTATTTAATTAATATTTGATTTATTGTAACTTAAACTGATTTTAACACTCTAGCATTATACAAATCATTACTGATTAATACAAATTAATAATAATTAAATTAATATAATAATAATTAATAATGAGTATTAATAAATTAAAAAATAATGAATCAATGTTAATTTGTTCTGAGATAATATTTAATTTTACTTTAATTTACCTCCACCTAAATTAAATTGTTTGTTTTTCATAATTGAGTGTATCATTGAATATTGTATTTGTCAAAATTTCTAAGAAAATTATAATTTTATTATAATTGATTAATAACATAAAAAAATTTTTTAAGATTTTCAGCATTAAAACAAAATGTTATAAATTGTCTTGAAAATAGAAATTTGATTATATTAATTTAAAAAATTTATTTCATAAAAATGATAGATAATAAAAGTAACGCATTTTAAGATGGAATGAATTAAGTTCTATTAACAAAGAATGTCGTGGGAACATTACACTAGATATTTCAGAGACAAATTTTCCAAATTTAAGTATTTCCTTAAATAGCACACATATGTATTCATAAAAATGAGTCAATGACCTAGAAATAGAAAAAGAGAAGGTTGTGCCTATACATACATGTATATATCTGTCGTAATTTATAATGAGTCATAAATTACGAATGCATACGTCATATGACGTTCGGGCGGGCAAAAATTTTTACTCGTATTTCACTTTATGTAAGGCGCGATCGATCCTCCGTTAAAACATGCGAATGACAGCAGCTCGTTCACAGGACTCATTCACACTATTACTTTGTATTACACAATGAGAGATCAAGAAGGCTCGCGTACGTACTTAACTTGAATTCGATTAATATGATCTTATCTTGCATTCGAACTAATTGAGTGCAGAAAAATATACATTAAAATCATTCATAAAGAGCAATGAATAATTATTTTTCCACAGCTTACCCATTGACCACCAACACTTTTATTATACTTTTTATCGTGTAGCAATCAATTATATATTCATTAATATCACTAATAAAATAATATAACTTTATAACAGTTAATTGTCTTACAAAAATTATTGTGGAAAACTATTTTTTACTTATTTTAACTTATTTATGCAATGTAAGAAAGCATGTAATTCCTTTAAGAAATTAATCTAAAATTTTATAGCTATTAGATGCTTTAAAAAAATTTTAATTAATTTTCTTTGTAAATCTTATTGAGAAATAAAAATATAAAACGAAATATACACTAAATTATATTTATTTTGTAACAATATATCTTTAATTTTATTAGATTATATTATGAATGGATGGCATCGATAAAATTGAGTCAAAGTGATAAGAGACTCAAAGCTCTTTGGGACGTATTACATAAATTACCAATGGCAAATTTTGAAAACTTAAGGTTCCTAATAAAATTTTTTGCTGTCTTGACAAAAAATCAAGACATTAATAAAATGACACCTCATAATATTGCAATAGTAGTTGCTCCTAATTTAATTTGGAATTCTCAAGAAGATACAACTACTGTAGTGTAAGTTATCAATTTTACTGCTTTAAACACTTTTTATGTATAAAAATATAATTCTACATATTTGGTTTAAATATGAAATTAAATAGAAATGATATATTCTTAAAGCATTGAATAATAAATATATCTCAATGGAAATAAAGTAAAATAAATAAAAGTAATTACCATTGAACTTTATTTGATACATTAAAAGGCACGGTTACTCATTTATAAAATACCAAGTAGTATTCATAGTTTTAAAAATGCAATTTTAAATATGACATTTTTTTTTACATGCTTCTATTCACGTAATGTAAGTTTAACAACTCTACGTGAATATCGCAACAATAATCACGGTAACAAATAAATAACTATATTCTTTGAAACCTTATCAGGATGGATACAGCCAATAACTCTAGTCTAATTGTCGACCAACTGATTACGCATGCCGACTGGTTTTTTCCCGATGAGATAGACTTTGATCGCGATTTAGACCTCGGCATCGTGAACGGTTCGGAGTGCAATCAACTGACGGATATGCGACGTTGCGTCTCTAATAGCAGCCTAAGCGACCACGGTGAAAGTCCAACCCAGGGTAGTCCGAAGCCGGCGACCCGTAGAAAAAACAAACCTGCCCCAACTCCCCCAAACGCTAAGATCACGCTAGATAAACAGCAATCTCATTACGATAAGAGGCCGGATGACAAGCCACCTCCGACACCGGACAAGCCACCTCGGCCTCTTATTACCGGCACTCTCAACCGACTAACATACAAGTCTCAGAAACACGAGCAGCTTGCCCTAGAGTTATCGCAGACACAAGAAATCGTCAATAATAAGATGCCTCAATTCGATAAATCTACAATTAGCATTAATTCCAACACGGAAGATGATACAAACCACACGGGATTCGAGTTTATCATTAAAGCTGACCAGTTAAAGGTAATCGAAGTCATTTCTGAAACCTTTCGATCTCATGACTCGGAAGTATAAGTATGAAGCGTTTTGAAATCTGTGACTAATAAATACCGTTTATTTATTTCTTAATATATGATTTTTAAATTGATTTTATATAGGAAGGTCAAAATGATGTGGAAATAATTGCATCACAGCAACAGGTGATCCTTTCATCCAACAAAATTGAAAATCAAAGAAAAGATGACAATAAAGTAAATAGTATTCTTATAGATTTAGAGACAATAAATATCAAAGCAGGATTAATGACAGACTTTATGAACAAATCTACTAACGAGTTGACTACGGAAGATGCAGATAAGATCGAATCATCGAAATCAAAACCAGTTCCCACAGAAAAACCAGCACCTTCAACGTTAGAAAGGCGGAAGTTTCCCATCGCAGCTCCACGTAACATAATAAATGTCACATCGTACCCACAAGGTTTTAATTTTTTTTTATTAATTATTATACAATTATTAACATACATATTATATTTAACTTATCTAGATAAAAATATATAGTATTGTATATTATTATTTACTAATTAAGATTTAATAATAAGCATCTAGTTTTCACTTCTTTTTGCATCTCACTTCAAAGATTTATAAAATAATTATTAACTCAATATCTTTATAATTGTATAAAATACTGATTTAAATTTCAACTTTGCAATTTTAATTGACTATTTACATATTCTATTCATAACTTTATTTTAATTGTCATATTTGGATTAGCATAATTAAATTTGCATTCATTTGCATTTTAATTTTTAGAGCTTAAACATTTTATTCCATTTGATTATATTTAAAATAATTATATTTCAATTGATAGAAGATGTAGAATTTCGTAAGAAATTGGAAGGAAACAATATCATTGCCATAGATAGAAATAGTAAACCAGCCATACCAGAACGACCAGCTGGACTCGTTCGACCTTCTAGTTTAATTCGACCACATCCCCGACATAATAATGAAAATTTGGATTCTGATTCAGGGGTAGGTAAACTCAAACAGCAAGTAATATAAATAGTAAGAAAAAATTTGATAAATGTTTAAAATAATTGTGTATATATTTAACTAAATTTTAATATATTTCAATTCTAAAACAAGAATATTTTATCATTATTTAATTAATTAGAACAACAATCGTTATTATCTTTCAAAAATATATATTATTTTTATTAATTGCATAGCTTAATATTCTAGACCTTATTTGGTTAATCTTGAAGATGTATTTAATTATTTTTAATGTCGTTTAGTATTAAATTAAATAGCGATAAACATTTATGAAACAACTTTGTTAAAATGATATCTTTTTCTTTGATCCCATATGTACATTGTATCAACAACAATTATATTGGTATAAAATATTTATAATTGAATAACTAAATTTATATTACATTTTCTTAATATATAAACATTAATTATCAATATTATGATCAAATTGAAAATGTTATTTTTTTATGCTTATAATAAACTATTTTAAACGTATGTTTTAATATATTCATTACAATATTTTGATATACACTTTATCTAGAAATATCTTTCTATACAATATAGTTCTAAGTTATTTATTAAAATATGTTTATTAGAGTAAGGCAGGTATTCGACTGCAGAATTATTAAAAATATCCTATATATTCGAAAAAATGTTATATTTGGTAAACAAATAAAAATAAATTAATCTAAAGAAGCTTGTTTGATGATCAATCTTAATTGTATACTTTTAATGTAATTATTGTAAAATATAAATAATAAAAGCATCTAGAAATATTCAAAATTCACTTTAAAAAAATTTAAAAATAAAACAATATTGTTTTAAAAAACAATTTCGTGTACAAAAATAATAATTTAAAATTGTTTTTTAATCCATTGACAAATTGCAAAAATTAAAGCAATAAATTAAATTTAAAACAAACTTAAAGAAGCTAATATGTGACGTGGTTTTACGTTATATAATAGAAAAGACGGGTAACATATCCTGCATCCATCGTTAACTCATCCGACATTTCGTGTCCTACAGCCCTTGACCCTGGAGCGAACCCACATGTATTCAGTAGACAAACAGCAGGTTAGTATAATACAAGTACACGGGAATAGCAACTGTGAAATCAATAGCACGAGCTCAATCATCAACTTGCAAAGAAGTCCTAGCGTAGGCAGTCGGCCAGCCTCTATGTCTCTGTGTGCCTCCCACGCCGTCCATCAATTGGATCGACCCGAAAAGCCACCCCGACCGGATCTTCCCGATCAGATACGATCGCACGCTCGAACAAGGTCTGAGGGCAACATCATTGACGTTCAAACACAAACACAAACCATCATCATACCCAAATCTAATGTTGGTTTAGCTCAGCATGCACCACCTGCTTCCCCAAGGTTCTATCAGCGGCCACCCAGACCTCAACCACCTCCACCGCCACCACCCACTAACCTTCGACCTAAATCCGAGCATGAAAGCACAAATCTTTAACTAAGCACTTTTTTTTATTGTATTCGTTATTTTACCTATTATGCCTCAGTCATGGGCAAGATACAATTTTATCAATATTAACAGGCTTATTTTTTTTACTACTTCAATAATATATTATCTTAAAGCTCAACTCTTTGACAAATTATCGACTCACATTTACCAGTTTATAAATATTAATTAAAAAGAATGCGATTTATCATGATTCACAAAGTAATCTTAGTAATTTTTAGTACTGAGAAAATTATTTTATGGTTTATTTTAAACAATGCATATATTAACAATCGGTTATAAATAATACAACGTAAGAAAATGTGTTTTTTCTATTTTCGTTTTTATTATATTAATTTGTGCAAATAAATGTAAAGTGAATTAACTCATTTAAATTCATACATACTTATAAAGTATTTTACTAATTATAATTATACATATAATCCATTGCATTATATGTATATTCTTCATATAATTTAAGTATATTTTTAAGTAAAATTTTCATTTTTGTACAATATTTTATAAATATCGAGTGCTTCCTAACAGTTTACGAGTTATAATACAAATAATAAATACCGTATTATCATTTGATTTAACTAAAGCATTCGGTTCAACTAACATTATTGCAAGATATTTTATTTTAACAAAAATTACGAATGATCAGTGTATTATGAATAAATGTTATAAACATTTCTACAAAGTAAAAGATTTTACTTAAACAAATGTGTTACAAAATCCGTATTCAAATTAAGATGAATTGATAATATAAACTTTGATAAAACTTAAAAACCACCTTAAATATATATATTATTACCATTTACTCAAACTTCCAAATTAAAAGTTTTAAGATTTATTTAGTTTTATTTATCAATTACAAATAATAAATTTAAATAGCAAATATAGAAAAATTTAATCATATTCATGTTTCAATAATATTGAAATCCTTAAATAATAGATAAATATTTAAAATTTTATTTGTCAAAAATTAACTTAAATTTAAATTGGTTTACATTAGAATAGTTATTTATAAAAATATTAGGAAAACGTAGGTAAATATAATATAATGTAAACTAAAAAATAAATATTTATGACAATACAATTATAAATAAAACGTAAAATATATATACCTTAATCTAAAATATCTTTAAAAAAAATGATTATCGTATTAATAATGAATATTCTTAATCTTATTTTAATTGTGCAATTTTATCAGTCATAATAATGTTTATATTGTTTTATTAATAAAGAATTTAAGTAAATATTGCAGCTGTACAACTTGACATTTATGTTAAATGTATGCAATATGAAAAATGTATTATAAATATCTTTAAATAGTTTATATATTTTTTGATCTATTATATTTTTAGTTATTTCAATTTTTAATGTATATTAATAGGGTATTCAATATTACCTGAACATAACCGCTAAAACTATAATAAAAAATCTGCCTATGACTGATAGTTTTTTAGTTTTAAATGTTAAAAACTATTTCTTTTATAAAGAATAATCAAATGGATTTAAAAATGACCACAGTTAAAATTATGAATATTATATTTTTAGATTATGAATGTGTGATGTGATTAAAAGTGTGAATGTGTATTAAAATTAATTAATAATTTGAAAAAAAATTTAGTTCTTAATAGATTCTTTCTGTGTAAGACATTTTATCTTTCAAAAACAAATAATTTTATCTAATTTCATTACACAAATTAAGAATTATATATACATAATATTTTTACAATATGACTTTTAACAATATTAAATAAATCGATTTATTATATAATTATACAAAATCCCCGTTATGTATACAAAATAATAATTTAAACAAATCAATTATAATTGAAATAGAAGTTAATTTTAATAGCGATTTTTATTCCAATACTATTATACACAAATAAAAAAAGTATCAGCATTTAATTTTAAGTATTAAGCAAAATTACATAGCAAAGAGAAATCGTATTAACGTAAAAAACGTTGATTTAGTATTTCGCTTATATAGTTTGTTAAATATCATTCATGATTATTTTCATATTTTATCATCATAATTATTATTAAATAATTCGCGCCAAACGGGAATGAGATTTCAGTCATTTGAATTTTTATAAAATACCGTGTATATATATTTTTATTCTAATAAATTGAAAACACTGCAATTGCGTTGTGCAATGTGTGTGATCGAATTCTAATCCTATCATATCTTCATTTTATAATTATATTTAATATAATCATAAGTCGTACAATATGATTGATTATATATTACTTATAAATTTATTAATTAATTTTCTTTAAGCATAAAATAAATAAATAATATATAACTAAAATGAAGAGAAAATTTATTTTGAATGCAAAATATGTATAGTCATAATTTATATTTTTGGCATATATATAACCTAAGAAAATTTTAAGCTGTGAATACGTTGGAATATTAAAATATGTATTTGTACATAATAAAATGATTCATCATATATTTTATACTTTTTAATAAAATCCCAATATTTCTTGGTACGAAATATTAATTAATAATTATAATTTATTCATGATTTTAGTTTTAAATATTTTCAAGATTATTAAAATGAATTATTTATTTAAATTGTAAAAAACTAACGTTTCGTTTATTTTCTTAATTTAAAATAAAAATATATAAGAATATTTGTAATATTATTTCTTTATTTTTGTCAAATACATCTTTTTTTAATACATGCAATTACAAAATTATGACATTATTCAGAACATAGTTGATAGAGTTTGATCTGCAACATCTTTTGGCAACATACCACAATTATCTTTAATTAAATCAACATTTAGAGACAAGAAATATTTAACGATTTCCTTATGTCCACAAGACGCTGCATAATGTAAAGGAGTTTGACCATCTTCATCGGCTACATTTACATCAGATCCAGCTTCAATAAGATACTTTAATATCTGAAGATTACCTCTGTCAGCAGCCCAATGTATTGGTAGCATTCCATTTTCATCTTTCAAATGTATATCTTGTTTATTATGAGATAAGTATATTTGTACCTGCTCTTCATTGCAATCTTTCACCCAATCTAGAAGTGTCTTATCAGTATCATTCAATTCAATGTCTGTACTAAGCATTTTGCTTACCATCGCCCAACCCTGTATCTTGGAGCATGCATCTTTTTCCCATGTAGGATCCAGTTTTCCCAGATTATTTATGTAACATTCCATAGCTATTTCCTTACTCATATTTCCCAAACTTTTCCAAGCTTCCCATTTTCGTTTTGCTTGTATTTGATATACACTTGGCATTGAAATATAACAAGGGCCACAAGTAGCTTGCTTGTAAAGACTATAAAACATTAATAATTGAGTCGCACTTAATTGTGGAGCTAAAGACTGAAGATGAGCTGCTGCGTTATTAAATACTTGTTGAAGTTCTAAAGTTTCATAATTTAAGTTAGCCATTTTATAATTAACCTCTATTTTCAATTACTACAAAAATAAAATTTAAAATTTTTGACGCAATATGAGCTTTTTTCCTTCAAGCCAATGAGCTTCATAATTTAAAGCCTTTTTCATTGCTTCTTCGTGAAGGAAATGAATAAAACCAAATCCTTTATGAAATCCAGTTTCATTCTCAAATTGTAAATTTACTTGACACACAGTCCCAAACAAACTAAAGTGATCTTTTAATTGTTTATTTGATACTGTCCATGGTATATTAGCAACATAAAGTTTAAATGCATCTGTTGTTTTACGTAACATATTAAAAATTATTTTCTTTTGATTTCCAAGAGATGAATTGTATGATCTTGCATCAATTCATTTATATCAAGTCCAGAATCAGCACCAAGATTTGCTAATGATATATGCGAACAAGTTAAACCCCACTTATTTAATAGATGTTCAATAGACCAATCAGCACTACGTTCTTGATAAGTACAAAGAAATTTAGCTGTTGAATTTCTCTCCAACAAAAAAGCAACAGTTACAACTATATCTTCGAAAACAGTAGGATCAAAAAAGCAATCTGATCCCAATATTAAATCTAATGGTCCAAGAGAAAATAAACTAGATAAAAAAAACCCCCAAGTAATACCAATAACCTTCACTTGAGAAATAATTCCATTTAGTTCACAACTTCTTCTTAAATGCTGTAAACTTTTTGGTAAAGTTGCAGAATCACTAAGTGTAACAAATGCTCCGCATTTACTAGCTACAATACCAGGAAGTGCTGTGCCTAAAATAAATATAAATAAGCATAAATTAAATTTTATATTTTAATTCATTTAATATAATTAAATTATATAATTTTATGTATATTCAAGCATAATTAAGTTATAAATTGAATAAAATTAAAATTGTACTTCTTACCTGATCCAAGCTCTAAAATACGTTTACCAGGAAGTTCTTTTCGATGTTCCCATAAATACCAGGCTAAAACTGGTGCTGAAGGCCAAGTATAAAAGCTGTAGCTTGCTTGAAGTAACTGAAAAATTAAATCGTAAATAATGAATATACTGTTAATAATAAAATAAACTACTACACGAACGAAAAATGAGTATTAATGTAACTATCTATATATGACGAATGAAACACGTGACAAACGATTTATTCCACAATTATATTGATAATTAAAAATAAGCTAACCAAAAAGATCGGTTTAGCGTTACATAGATAACAAAAAATTCTTCATGAAATATTACATTGATTGCGGAAAATATGAAAAAATACATCACCCATGCGCACCTCAGGGATATAAACTTCGAGGGTATCATCAATCTCGTTCTTTTCACTTCTCGACGATACTTTGCCTGATGTGAAAAAAAATTTTTTCACTTGCTCGGAAGCGACACCATCGGACATTAGGCCGTACACAGATCTATTGGTATAAAAGCCAAAGTTGTGTTCCAATCCCGGCATATCATCTCTTGCACTTCAAATGGTGAAACATCGATTTTAGTTTTGAACTTATTCATGTCCTAAATTTATTCTAATTACAGTGTACTACTAAATAAAAGTGATTTTAATTATTAATATACGTATATTTTTGACAAAAAAATTAATAATAAAGTCATTACTAAGTAAAAATTCCTATTTTAAACAAAAAGTAATTAAAATAAATTTAAGACCTAATTATATTTCAATTCGATATGATGTGAGCCGCGGATGAACTCGCATTCTACTATAGTTGCACAGTTTTACGCAAAAACGCGCAAAAGTTTAAAATGTGCACATATGCAAACATATGTATACAAAAAGTTTATATAGTACTAAACACTTTATACAACATTAATTTCAACTGATAAGAAAAAACATTATTATATGTAGTATTTCTATGGTTTAAATAAAATTTTGAACTAAATGTTTTGAAGACAGTACTCAAAATAATATTAAAAATAATACTTTAAATATCGCTTTTCATTTATATAAATTATTATTACTAATTAATCTATTCTCTATTTGTATATAATAATTTTTTTAATGAATATTACATATTATATTTATAGTTGCAAATAATATTTGTCACGTTGATTGTTAATATTATTTTATTATGGTAATATTTAAATTTGATTATAACGATAAATATATTATCTTTGGATTTCTTCTAAATTTAATTCAGAATTTCTGTTTAAAATAATTTGAAAAAATATATGGATATTATATTAAATTATATATATTAAACTATATTCAAAGCGATAATACATAATTTATAATTCATAACTTATGTTGACAATTCCATATCTCAACATTAAATTTGAATAAAAATAAATATTTCATGTGATTTAAAATTTTATGTAAATTTTAAAAATTGAAAAAAAAACTTATGTTTAATTTCATATTTTTATATTTATTTTTACATTATATAAGCATTTAACTATCAGTATTCAATTTGAAGAAAGATTATAATTTTATATAAAACTTTTTTTTTAAATATCTAAGAATTTATTAACTACATAACTATTTATACATATGTAATGTTGAATTATTTTGCAAATATATCTAAAAAATGAATTTACCAAATATTTAAAAACATTGCAACATTATTTTATATTATAAATAAATATTAGAATTGAAAAATTGTATAAAATTTTGGAATTACAAATAGTGATTAAGGCACATTATATTGACTTTATATTTATTTTATTATACATATTATATATAAACTTTATATATACACATTATATATACGCATTATATTCATCAATATGAAATTGAATATTTAACAATTCAGATCAGAATCACATCAGTGTTCCATTAGCTTTTTATTTTTATCGATTCATTATGTTTAAATATTGCACTTTTGAAGTTTTAAGCTGCTTAAACACGTGACAAACGGCGAACCAAAACAAAACAATTACAATAATACAATTTCTCCATCCGGCAACTGCGCAAATACATCTTTGACTGCGCTAGCGCAGTGATCAGTTTACAAAAAATAAAATGTATTTACTTTTGCATGAGTGTAGCACTGCTGAATCTTTGCGTCTCTGCATTCAGCGTGTATGCGCATTTTATCGATCAAAAAGCTCGTTAAGATAACGAGATTGCTTTGAGGTTAGAAATATCTCTACTCGTATTCATCTAAGCCTAATCATTATTCCTACGCAGTCCGTGAAATATATCCACTGCGAATCACTAAGAATTTCAAAATGTAGGCTGTGAAAAGTGAAGGTCTATGAAATAACTCATCAATTTATTTCAGAATGTAAAAGGCAAGAAAAAAAACAAGAAATGAGGCAGATACTTTACTAGCGACGGTACCGAGTGTATCTGTATACTTGCCATCTTCTCATTCCATCGAAAGCCTATTTTATTACTTAAAGATGGAGGAAGTTGGCGAGAAGAAATTGCTGTCAAGAAGACGTTCGACTATTTCACAGGCTTTGAAAGTTAAAGATGAACGAATAGCCACTGTTAAGAAAGTACGAATGGATAAAATAGTTGAAGCTATTTTTTAAATATAGCAACTATTCAATTGTATCGAAATAAATTTTAATCCAACAGATTTTTTAGCCGTCTAATGCAATTATACTTATAAATAATTGGGTTAATAAACTTTTATTTTCAGGTTGCGGCAATATTGCAAAAGTCGGAAACTATTCGAACACCAGAAGAATGCGAGATTCTCTTATCCTGCAATGACATTGTTAAAGAAATCAATCTCAGGTGTGTTTAGAATTTTTATTTCGTGTATTATGGGATTGCTTAATCATAGTTTGATAAATTTTAAATAGTCCTTTCTAAAACTATTTAATTTTTTATTTTTTAAATGCATTGAAATTTCTTGTGATAATATTTGATAAAAAAACAATGATTTGGTTAGTTATTTTAAGTAGGATAATAATATAATTTTTTAATTATAATTATATACATTTATTATACTATATATTACATATTATACTTTAGTATTTTTCAGTATATTTCTTATATTTTTTTATAAAAATAGTGATTTAATTTAATTGTAACACATTAAAAATTTTTAATTATGTTAAGTACTTATATTTTAATGTAAAAAACTCTTTGAATAAATATTATAAATTTTTAAAAATATTTAAAGCTTAATAATAAATTCATTATTTTTAATGAAAATATTAATTATTTTTTAATAATATTATTAATAATATTTATAAATTATACAGGCAAGAAAAAAGAGATAGAGTAAAAGCTCGATTAGAAGAAATTGAAGATCCGCCAGAAATTTTAGAAGAAAAATGTGTAAGATTAGCAGCTGTTATTAGTCAAGCAACATCTTTAGCAGTTTATACTGGTGCTGGCATAAGTACAGCTGCTTCAATTCCAGATTACAGAGGAACAAATGGTGTATGGACTCGAATGCAGCAAGGAAAAGAGATTGGGTTAGTTTATACATAAATTTTTTTATTTCAAACTTATTTTGATAAATGAAACCTAAATTAATATCAAATCATTACCTCAATTATGTTTTGCAATTATTTGATATAAAAATATTTTTAATTATATAAAATAATCACACTTCAAAGTAAAAATTTGCATTTTTTATATTTTTAAAATATTAATTGTTTAAGATATAACTTTGTGGTTAATTTAACAATTACACATTGAGCTTGAGTAAAATGAATATATGATTTTTGGATGCTGGTAAAACATTAATCTTTCTTTTAATAGTAATCACGATCTCAGTCAAGCAGAGCCTACGATAACTCATATGGCTTTGTATGCATTATATAAGGCTCGAATGCTTAAACACATAGTTTCACAAAACTGTGATGGTTTGCACTTGCGTAGTGGTATACCGAAAAGTCTACTATCTGAAGTTCACGGGAACATGTATGTTGAAGTTTGCCGAACCTGTAAGCCATCGCGCGAGTATTGGAGACTGTTCGATGTAACAGAAAAAACAGCAAGGTATGCACATGCTACTGGACGTACATGTTACAAATGCAGCTCATCCTTACAAGACTCGATAGTACATTTTGGAGAGCGGGGTAATCTTCTTTGGCCAATCAACTGGAATGGAGCAAGCAGAGCAGCAAAACAAGCAGATGTCATATTATGTTTGGGATCCAGTCTCAAGGTTATTTGTTAATTTTTGTTCTTTATACTTATTTTTTTGGACTAAAACAAAATAAGATAATATTAAATAATGTTTTTAATTTCCATATTATAAAAACCTTGTACAAAATTTTAAAAATTATAATTTATATTTCCTACTTATGTCATATTTAATTTCATAATTTTTTATATCATTGCCCAATTAAATAATATATTATTAAATAATAATAAAGAATAAAAATAATATATGTAAATGAATTTATTTTTTATTAATATCTTCTGTTTTATTTAAGGATTTAATTAATTGCTAATATAAAATTTTCATGTAATAATTTAATTCATTAAATATATCTGTCTTTTAAATATTTTGAGTTTTTTCAAAGTAACTATAATCAATTTCAATTAATTTAACATTTATTTGTGTAAGTAAAATACTTTATATTTTAATCATTCTTTCTTTATTTATCATAATAATAAAAAACATTTATTGTTACTTTTTAGAAGACAATATCATTTTAAAGAATTATATAATTCGATTATTATATATATCTATATATTGTTACATATTTATATATTTATTTGATTTATAAAAAGTGTATAAAGTTTTTATAAGACATGTGATAATAATATAAAATCAAAGCAATTAGAGACAAGATGTGATTTACAAAATACTGTAAGATAGACGGTATATACTACAATTACTTTATTGGTAAAAAGAAGTTTTTGCATAAAATATATTGAAACTTTTAAATAATTTGATTTACTTATAATAATGATTATAAAAATTATTTTTTGTAAATGTTGTAGGACCATATATATAATATTTAAATATGATTTTCTAATGATTCTAATGATTTTCATTAAAAGACTATTTATGTTGTTCTCAAGGTTTTGAAAAAGTATCCTTGGCTTTGGCAAATGGACAGGCCAGTATCAAAAAGGCCGCAGCTTTACATCGTAAACCTCCAATGGACACCAAAAGATGAAAATGCAGTACTAAAAATAAATGGCAAGTGTGACAAAGTTATGAAAATAGTTATGTCACACTTGGGTATTGATATACCAAATTATAATCGTAGCAAAGATCCAATTTTTTATCATGCAACAAAGTTGCAAAACAATGAACTATCAACTACTTCACAACCTTGTTTAGAGTTTCCACTGACTCCAAACAATGAAAAGGCAAAGGAAGAGACAGAAGATATTGTAAAGATTCAAGAAGAGGAAGACAACGAAGTAGAAATTATAAAAGTTTTGCCAAACACAAATCAAGTTAATCATATGTCTATAAATTTATCAAGGTATATGTTCTGTTGATAAATAAATAATTAATTATATTAATGTAAAACAATAGTATAAAAATAATTCTATTGTTTTAGATTATATGATTAGAGCTAACATTCCAAAAATTTATAATTAAAAGCCTCTAAATTATACTTATATGTACACTATTTAAAATACTAATATGTCATTGTATAAAGTTATAAATTAATTTAAAGTACTAAATTAATACAATACCTAAAATAGAAACAAATTTACCTAAAATTTTTAAATATTTGAAAGGTATTTTTTCTTTGTCACTTTAAATTTTTCAACTTTAATTAAATTACCGTAAACCTTTCTTTTTAATTGAAAAAAAAATTTTATTTGCATTGATGACTTCATATAATAGCATTATGAAAAATACTAAATTAATGAATTTGGTAGTATTTTAAATTTTTATTAAAACGATATAAAAGTATGTAATAAATGTACCATAAAAGGTTATAGAAGGCTAAAAATGACTATTAAAATTTTATTTTAGACAAAAAAGTACAAAATTTTAATTGAAAAATAAATAGCTTGTGAAAATATAGTTTTTAAAATTAAACATTCATCCGTTACACTCATTGAAATAATTTTTTAATGTTATAATTTAAAAAATATGTAAATGCAAAAATCAATTTTTTTCTTTTGTTTAAAATGCTCCATTAACACGATTAATAAAAAAATTTTGTTTATAACTTTTAGGCATACAATGTTATCAGAGAATTTAATTGTAAAAGATGAAGAAGAAGAGGACTGTGAGTCACAGATACGACTGCAGGAGCCAATAACTGGTTATCCAGCTCCTTTTTTCGCTGCTCTACCCTTTCTTTCCATGGGACTACCCTTTCCTCCTATATTTATGTATCCTCAGCTAACACCATTCCTCTACTATCATCCTATCGTCCAAATACCAGGAAGTGCTCTCCCAGCAGAGAGTCATCCACCAAAGCCAAAGCCTACCTGTAGTTTTTGCATGAAGAATGAAGGATCCCTTAACTGCCTATACTATCAGTGTAATGACGACGGTGATGTTGATGGTGACGGAGACGGCGATGGTGATAATGAGCCTCTTTCCATTACGGAACCAACAGATGCCAATATGTTACAGGATAATATTAATAAAATGCCAATTGTTGATGAAAATATATCTACTACCATAATCGCCAAGAACCCAGGATGGTTCGGTAAGGGTTACCGGAAAGGCATGAAAAGAAAGCGGTAGCATCCGATCATTATTGGCATTATGTTTTATTTGTTCCTCTTTCTTAATGACGTAGCCAACGCTATAGTCATTAACGTTATTTTCTGAATGCTGGTACGATAAACGCTTCCGACACACTATTAAGAAACAAAACAGATTATATAATTATTATACATAAACATTACAGACTTAAATTATATAATTATACTCGGAAGCGTGCAGCCTTTTAATTTAGATTAGAAATGTAAACGTTGTAAACGTTTTATGCGTGTGTTGCGTAGTTTCAAGTATGTGTTGCAATTACTCGAAAGGGGCTTTTTACATTTAAAATTATGTATTTTGCAGTCCTAAGATTATATCAGTATATTATATTTTGTTATGAGATAATCATTATATTCAATTAGTCATAAAAAGCAAATTAGGACATCCATTTGTGATATATGAATACTCTGTTACATGCTTTAAAAAACAAATATTTAACTTTTCTTGTTTAACACCAAATATTTTTATCTATTTAAACTTTATTTTAAATGTACGCATCCTAATAATAATATAATTATTAGATATAATTATATCGCCTGAAAGAAATGTTTGTATTAAAATTAATAAATAGTATTTTTTAAATAGCTTAATAAAAAATTTAAATATTCACTTATAATATAAAAGAGAAAAATTATGTCATAAATAGATAAAAATACCCTTTATAAGAAAATTATGTTTGTTTATTTATTCTTAAGAAGTATTTTTAATAATTTTGACTAATAATTTTTATTTTTTTTTATTGAGCCCCTGTATGAAAATAAGGGGAAAATTCAGTATTAGCAAGAATTAAAGGAAAAAAAATCCATCAATACATGCTTATGAGAATATTAACTCTTTCCTTGAAGTACCTACAGTCTTTGAAATATTACCTCAATTGTATACAAAAAGTCATTTGTCACTTAATCACAGTATCTTATTATTTATTTATCTATATACACGTATTTGCATTCACATAACGTGAAAATTTAAAAAACGATACTGTGAGTGTAATTACCTAGAATCTTTGTCAATACTGCAGTTATCTGTAGCAATACCAAAACTGTGAAATTAAACATGAACCCAGGGAATGATATAAATTTGATCATTTATTATTAACTTTACTAATTAATTTTTTAATATTAACGTAGAATACAATGTATAATTTTAATCAAATTGAAAAGTAGATAATTAAATTTTTTATTTCTACATTTCACGAATCAAATTTATTTCGATTATGTAAATAAAACATTTAATTTTTACACATATTTTTATTAACTTTTTACATTTACTATAATTGATCGTGTTTAATTTTCAGTTTTTGTAAATTAATGAATTATTTTAAGAAAATTTTTAGCCATGAACGACATTCATGCATTTAGAATATTGATGTATATATATAATATTGATATGTGCAGCCCAAAATATAATAGAATGTAATAATTTTATTATATTTTATTAATAAATAAATTTGTTCATTTATATATATATAAACAAATTTATTTATTTACTATAATTAAAACAAAATTTAATTACAAGTACTGAACTATACACAATTGCCTCAAAAATATTTTATTAATTTTAAAAAATGTATTGTTCAAAGTTATTCGGTATTTAATTATTTTGTTAGAAATTTTAAAGTTGAAAATACTAGTTTTATAATTTTAATCTAAATAGACTCTAATGTATAAAATATTTTTCTATTAAGTCTATAAACATTACTTTTATACTAAACTCAATTGTAAATACTCTAATTTTTTAATATTATTTAAGATACTATGAATTTTAATAATTCGTATATTTTGTTGATTGTATATATTTTGTCAATTAATATAATTTTTATTATTTTTAAATAATAAATAAAAAATTTTAATAACAAAGTGAAATATCATGTTTTATTTTTATTCTACAATTTAAGAGTTAGATAGTTACATTAATAATTACATTACTACAAATTACCCATTAATATTTCACCTATTTAAAAAATATAAGACAAATATAAGAATTTAATAAAAAATAAATTTTTATTTTATTAATTCTAAATTAACAAATCAAAACGTTCATCAAAATAAAAAGAAATTTCTAATTTAAAATTTGATTTTAAAAAATAGAAGTAAAATTTTAACAAATTTAATTATGGTATATTGCAAAAACATAGGTAAATTGCGTACTGTATATATTACAGTATTGTTAAGGTTATTTGCATTTTATGTGTAATAAGAATATATTTATTATGAAATAATCAAAAAAATAGAATTTATTTGTTATTTTGATACTGATTTTATTATCCAATCAATTATTTCAGCAATCTGGAAAATTAAATTTTTCACTTTTAAATCTTAATATTAAGGGGAAAACGTAATAAATAATTTTTAACTAAAATATAAATATACGATTGCAATAATATTTATTTTTATAAGTTAAATCACTAGTGAATTAGAATTTACAAAAACATCTCTAAATTCAAAAAAATTAACCATAAATTAATCACGGGTGTATATTATAACCAAATTGAATTGATTCGAATCAAAAGATATCTTAAAAATATAATTAAAAAATATTTCTTACTTTTAAAGTGCATATTTAAAACTAATTTTTGCGCATAAAATATTCCATCAAAATATTTAACCTTCGAATTAATTATTTTGAAATATTCAATATTTTGAGTACATATATAAATAGAAAAAAATGTAATTATTACAATATATTGAAATTTTTATTATACAAAATTAGCAAATAGCTAGTAAAATAAACACTAATTAACAAACAAATAAAACAACATTAATTATGATTAAATTAATTAATAAAAAATTCAAATACAAATTAAGATATTAATTTTAACAAATTAATCTAATAAAATTTTATATTTTTATTTAATTATAAACTACATTATGTATTTTTAAAAATAATAAATTATAATGATGAAAACGATACTAAATATTATGACTTTGTTTACTGTTTTATTTTTATCTTTAAGCAAATAAATATTATTCTCTCTGAACTCTGAGATAAAATAATGTTTTAATAAATTTTGAGCTGTAATTATTGAATTATGTTTAAATTTTATGAATTTATTTTTAAACTTTATACAAAAAAAATGGTAGAAAGATTTGAATCTTTATAGAGAAAAAAAATCGATAGCCTAATTTCAATTAAACTGTTTGAAACGTTTTGTAAGTCCTAATATCATTAATTTTATATTTTCCTATTTTTATAATTTTATACATGGTATATTCAATAATAAGATAAAGGCACTAAAAAAAATTAATTTCAAAAGTACTAATCGTTACGTATTGTTTAATAAAAATAAGGAAACTTGGAAAAAGCATGTAGGAAATATTTTTATTCGACTTAGGAAATATTTTTGTTCGTGTTGTCACAAAATTAAAGATGATATAAACACGGGTACTGCATTACGCGTAATAATAACGAAAACAAAAATGATGGCGAAATTCATAAAAAACTTTTAATAATTTTTGTTCATTAACATAAAAATATAAAAATGATAAGGTTTAATTAATCTATTAATGTTTTATAAATATTATTGTTTATCAATAATAAATATTATTAAAATATAATATAGTGGTATTATAAATATTTAATATTACTTTACTTTGGAATGAGAGTTGCTTCTGCAGTTTATTAATTTATTATAATTAAATAAAATTTCGTTTTAGTTTTTTCAAAATATTTTTCAAAAAGTTCCAATAAGTGTTTTAAATCATTAATATAAATACCAACATAAATCAATAATAATGACGATATTTTATTCATAAATAAATATGATATTTGAGTTTACAATAATAATCTGATATTATTCTAACTAATATAATTAATAACTACCTTCACTGTCATAATAATATATGTATATATATTTCTAAAATCAAATTATGATTAAATTAATTATTAAACATTAAAGAATAATATCGCAAATTATTAATCGAAGAATTCAAGATACTCATTAGGCATTAAAAATCTAATATAATTTAATTATTGTCATACTAATCCATATTTTCATTAAAAATATAATTCCTAAATAATATTTTTAAACCAGTTTGGATAAGATATTTATTTAGATTTATTTGATAAATATTAAGGCAAAACATATATTCTATAAATAAATAGTGTCATGTTAATTTTAAAATACCAATAAAAGATCACATATTTACCTATTGTTTCATTATTAATAATTATTAATATTATAACGTACAATTAGAAGTTACAGTATTAGCAACTTTAAATGGAAAATGAGGCGCATGTAAAAATGTAATATTTAAGAATATAAATTCTACTAATGAACTTTCAATAAATTTTACTTCTTATATAATTTTTATTAATTTTTTTATCATAAATTTCAAAGCGTAATTCATTCAAATTAATTTTTTCTTTATTTATATATATATATATATATTCTTAAAACAAAATAATTAAACGTAAAAAAACAAATTAAATACACATTAAAAATTATTGGAATTTTCGTATTGAAAAAATAAGATATACACAAACTATTATCAAAAGTCATGAGTGATATTTTATTAAATAATCGAGAAAATAATGATTAATTTTTACTATAAAATATTATAAATATAATTTGTGTACAAAATAGGAAGTTAATTAATATGTTTAATTACTTAAAATTATGTTTGTAATTTTTTGAAATTCTAATGTCAACATAATTTAATAGCTGAGATACTTATTCAGTTTAATAAATTAAAAATAACTGACCATTTTTATTATGAAAATAAATAATGGATTAATACAAATGATTCATTTAAATTTAATAAAAATGCACTGAATTCTATTAAAAATGAGTTTAGTATTTTTTATTTTGTAGCGTTATGATTAAATAATTTTTATATTTAATTTAAATTAAGTTTATAATTTAAATGTAATATACAACCAATATTTATTTAAAAATGAAAATTAAATTAATTAGCTAAAATTGTATTTGACATTTGTACAAGGAAATTATAATAAAATAAATAATAATATTAATATATATTTAATTACTTGATTTTGAAAAGCTTCTTTTCGCTATAATTATTTGCTTATGAATATTTCTTTTTGTCTTTATATGATTTAATTGTAATGTCTTTAAATGTAAAAATATACATTTTTCAAAGCTCATTTTAATTTGCCTTTTTTTATTTTAATGTTTTCTTTTGTATTAATCAAATTTTGCTATCTCAAAAAAATTCAATATTAAAGAAAAGTCGCCGCAAAATCGGCGATTTCTATCGGCTGCGTTATTTGTTAACTCTACCGCCGGGCGTGTGTTAGTGCGTCCGCCTGAAAGTGAAAAGCCGGTTGAAAGGAAGGTTGAAACGTGCAAACATTGTTAGATGACTCGTTGGTGCGCCGTGTGAAACGAATTGCCTAGTCTCAGCAACAGCGCCGGCGACGATAGCAGCCCCTGTAAGCCCAACACATAGAGTGAGTTCTGATAACGTTACAGTGCCACCCTACAGAACA